GACTAGATATGTATCAATTGGACATCGGCTAACTGGTTGGAATGCAGTAAAGAATCGTGTAGAACAATTAGATTTAAATTTAACAGATGAACAAATTAAAAAAGTTACAACTAAAATTAAAGAATTGGCAGATATTAGACCCCAAAGTATGGAAGATGTAGATAATTTATTAAGAAGTTATCATCATGTTGTAACTACTGGTGATCAATCCAAAGTAGATAGTTTCTTATCAACTACTGCTACTGTTATTAATTAATCTTTTTGGGAGAGGGAAAACGGGATAAAAAATGAGAGAGAAAAAAGGAAACATTTTTAAAATTTTAATTAAATGTTTCCGCCTCTGATTTTTTTGTTTGGAAATTATTATTAACCAATTTTTTTTTTCATTTTGTATATATAATTAATTAATTAATAAAAAAAAGCATTATCTTAATAAATTTTTTTATGAAATTTTATTTTTTTGGATAAATATTTGCTTATAAGAAAATCGGAAGATCATGAGCCAATTAATCTATTATTAGCTCCGTATTGCCATAATATTAATATATAGAGAGGAGGAAAACATGCATTAATAGGTAATGTTTAATGCTTGATAAAATAATTGATATTTTGATGTTTTGTCTTTTATTTTTCAACTTTAAATCACCAGATGTGTCTTGTTTACATGAAAATTATCAAAATCCTAGGCTTTTGTGAGATAATTATAACCAAGAACTTTGTCAAAGGTTTGTTCACGTGATAATTAGAATCACGTTACATAAACACTACCCAAGAAAAAAATTAATTTTCTATACATATACAAATAATATAATAAATTAATAATAACAATAAATAAATATATTAATAATAAATTAAATTAAGTAACTTTTTAGTTAAATAAATAAGATAAAATATTTAAATGAATATTCCCAAAACTTTTAATTAAATTAGTGTTTATTATCAGAATCAGGAACCCAATTTGAAACATAAGAAAATCCTTGGAATTCTTTTTGTGTATCTGCGCTTAACTTTGTATGAACAGGTGTCAATACTGGTACTTCATTTGTAAATTCCGTATCAAAATTTGAAGTATCAGTTGGGCATGACTATAATAAATATTGCCATTACAAAAAAAAAAGGATTAATTAAAACCAGTTTTCAAAAATAATAATAATTGTCTTTAAAAAAACTTACAATTGTGGGGTAAAATGGTGGCGCAACTTTCTTTGAAAGCATATCATCCCAATTTACACCTTTAAAAAATGGATGTCTCTTAATTTCTTCTGCATCTGCTTGAGATGATCCAAGACGTTTTTCTGGGTCACGAGTCAACAACTAAAATAAAACGATTAATAAGCGTAATCAGTATACACAATAATAACAAAAATCGAAATCGAAATCCCTAACAAGAATCATGACAAAAAACTTTTTTACCTTTTGTAATATGGATACAGAATCTCTAGACATGTTTATCGGATATAAAATCTCATCTTCTAAAATCGCATCAAAAATTTCATCTTCATCTTCACCACGAAATGGTGATTGACCTAAAAGCATTTCATAAATCAAAACACCAAATGCCCACCAATCAACTGCTCTACCATATCTTTTTTCCAACAAAATCTTGGATTTTTTGATTTAAATAAATAAATATAAGAATAAAATATATATATTAATCAATTAGTATTTACTAATGTGTAAATGTACCTCTGGTGCCATAAACTCAGGAGTGCCACAAAATGTATTTGTAGTGGCTCCATACCACATTTCTTCTTTGCAAAGACCATAATCAGCGATCTTTATATGTCCATCTAGTGTAAGTAATATATTATCAAGTTTCAAGTCTCTATATATGACACCATGTTTATGTAGATATTCTAAAGCAAGTAATACTTCTGCTGCATAAAATCTATTATTTTTAAAAAAAATTTACAATAATTATTATTTTGTAAATGTTATTTTTAAAATGGAAAATAAAGAATACATACTGTGCTCGTCTATAAGTGAATTGTTCCCTTTGAATATGCAACATTAAATCACCACCACTAACGTACTCCATCACAAAATATATTCTGGTGTCAGTCTGGAAACAGGAATGAAGACCAAGTAGGAAAGGATGTCGTTCACGATTAGCAGTTTGGAAAACTCTTTTTTCAGATTTTGTACTAATTTTTAAATTACCAATAAAATAGTTAACATTTATTTTATTTAATAATTTCCAATGAAAAAAAAATATTAATGAATAAATACCTTTCGACTTCATCGTTTTCGATGATAAACTCTTTTTTTAAAACTTTTATAGCATAAAGTTGCTTGGTAACTTTTTCTTCTGCAAGCATAACTTTGCCAAAATTTCCCTTGCCCAATACAGAAATAAAAGTAAAGTCATCTAAACCAACTTTGCGAGATTTAACAGATGAAACTCTTTGCTATTCAATGTTAATAATAAATATATAGATTTATGTATATAAACACAATATACATCCTGACATTAGTTATAATTTATATGTACATAACTCTCTTTGAAAAATCATTATAGTAACAATAATAATAAATAAATTTCTTTTTGCCTACATTAGGAGTAACCATAGCTGGTTGTGCGTAGGAATGTGTAGGTGATGAATGAGGAGAATGTTTTTGTAATTGTTGTTGTGATGGTGGTGGCATTGAATTATAATCGTCATAAGAAATTGGTGGATAAATCTGTTGCTTTTGTTGTGGCTGCTGCTGATATTGTTGCTGCTTCTGTTGATATTGCTGCTGTTGCTGCTGTTGCTGTTGCTGCTGCTGAGGAGAGTGAAATGGTTGGGATTGTTGTATGATTAAAGGTTGTTTTGGAGAGTAAGGTAAAGATTGTGTAAGACGATGTGGATTTTGTGATGATGGATTTTGTTGCTGGTATTGATATTGTTGTAATAACACTTGTTGTTGTTGTTGTTGTTTATGTTGAGGAGAAGGTGTGTTCCATTGATCATTAGCTACTAAAGTTGATGTTGTTGATGTTGTTGATGTTGATGTTGTTGATGATATTGATGATGATGATGATAGTCTATCACTTGCACGTTGGATCTGATCGATCATTTCACTGGCAGTTCTCATTGGCATACCACAAAAATCAGGAACAAGATGTGTACATTTTGCATGACAAGTAATATGACATTCTGTTTAATAAAATTTTGAAGGTGGTTATTTATTTGTTTAACTTAATAAAACAACCTTAAAAGGGTGTTCAAGTTCAGTAATAAATAATTACCAGAACATTTCTTTGACCCTTTCTTTCCTATTGGCAGCATATAACCACAATGACAACACCAATTTCCAGTAATATTAGTAAGATTCTCAAAACGATGTGGAATACGATGATTAAGTTGTTTATAATCCGAATCCTATTTATTATTATCATCATTATTAATATAAATATTATAAATATTAATATTATCATAGGTGCTTATAATATATGTAAATATTGTAGATAATTGTCTTATTTACCATCTCTGAATTTGATCTGGAAATGCATTTTGTTACAGTTTTCGTGTAACATTTCTTATGACATGTTAATTTACAATCTAGTTAAATCATTAAATTAAATCAGATTATTAAATCAAATACCGTTAAACGAAAATATTAAACATCTGTCACACCATCAGATATAATTACCATAACATTGAAATCCTTCTGTAACAAATAATTCTTCACAATAGGCACATTTCATGATTTGATAAAACTGTTGTTGAATAAATTTGTGACCATTCTGTTCAAGTATTTCGCCTTTTTTTTTACGAACAGCGTCTGTACGACCCAGTCCAGCATCTACGGGCCTCTTATTAATGTTCTCTTTGACTATGGAAGCATAAATTTATTAGTAGGTAAAATTATTTATGAATATATCAAATGAATTTAAGTCATTTCATTTATGTAAATTATTTTACCAAAATTAAGCTTTAATAAAACTTGACCAGCTGGCTCAACTTCAAACCAGGCTTCAATACCATCTGGTAAAGCTGAAGATTGTTGAGGCAGGCTTGCAACCTGTTGTGGTGACAAGTTAGGTTCTGGAGTTTGCCCGCCACTACTACCGGATACATAAGCACCACCATTATTAAATGAATTATTATTAGGAGAGGGTGATCTTTGAATATTATCGAATTGGACATTTGAAGCAGTAACCCAACCAGGACCGTTTTTGACAGCCTCTATTTTTTTTTTTCTTAACTCCTCAACAATATCCGATAGTTTAACCCATAAAAGACCAATTGGGACTTGATGTTGTTCATGTGGTTTATCGTACAATGTGATTTCAATTTCACTACCTTTCTCCACATGAAATTCAAAATCCTCATTCCATCGATCATTACGAGCAACGCGTGTTTTACCTTTTATTGATCCGTCAATTTTAATTGAAACAGTAGTGTCTAATGGTTTATTTGATCTGTTTGGTACATGGGAAATATGATGTGCTTGGATTATTTGTATTGATAGTTTTCCTGTGATTGGTCGACGTAATCCAGGCATGTTTCTACTTGCCCTTTCTGTTTCATCTTCTATAAAAAGTTTTTAGTTCAAGAATAAAATATATTTATTTATCGTTGAAGAATAAAATTTATTTATTTATTTATTTTCTAATTTAATCAACATTGCAAAGTACCTTCATCATCATCCACTTCACCAATATATAATTGTCTATATTTTTGTAAAGATCTAGTCAACAATGAAATTTTTTCTTTACTTTCCATAGTTTTGATTTGAACTTCAGCGATGCTTTTTTTATTTTTTGGATCTTGAAATTGTACGGCACCAATCATCTTCTCCGAGCCTGCTTTAAGTTTTCGCTCAACATCAAGCTTGAATTCAAGTTCATGAAGTTTCAATGAAACCTTTTGTGGTGTGATTGGTGTACTTGATTTTATAAGGTCTGTGTAATGGTAGAAATTATCCAGAAAAGAGAGAATCAAGATGATCAGTTCTAATATAATGTTTTATTTTTTTACTCTAATTTTGATCTAAATTATTACTAATATTACTAATTTTTCTATTATTATTGAATTAGGAAATAAAAAACTTGCCTAAATTAGATAGAGCAGGCCTTTTATGTGGTGTGTGTAGTGATGAATTTTTTTGCTGCTGGTGCTGTTGATTTAAATTTTGTTGTGATGGATATTGATAAGGTTGACCATAATTATTATTATTGTTGTTATTATAGCCAACTTGTGATTGTTGTTGTTGGTAAGGATCTTGTTGTGGGTATTGGTATTGTAATTGTTGTTGATTTGGAGGAGGAGGATATGGGTAAGGTGAATTAGTAGCAGATTGGGGACTCATTGGTGATGGTGATTGCAGCTGTTGTTGAGGTTGATAATATCCACCACCACCATATCCAGCTTGTGAAATATTATTTTGTGATTGTGGCGGAGGGAATTGTTGTTGTTGTGATGGTGTAGGAGGAAGAGGACTACCGCCACTATTAATAATACCGCTTTGTTGTTTAAAATGCAATTTTTCTAATTCATTTGTTAAATAATCAATATTCCTCGAAGAATCTTCAATGTTACGTTCACATTGAGCTTGAACTATTGTATTGGGGGTTTGTGACTTTACTTTAATGGCTGCTTGACGAATTTGTTCTTCTTTTTTAATTTTATCATTAACGGACTTGATTTTTGCATCAAGGTCCTATAATCAAACAATATACAACATGCACAGATGAGTAAATATAAAAATACCTTGTTAAATATAAAATATTTCCTTTGAACATTAATTAATAAAAAAATAATTATAATTATACTTACCGCCATCGTAATACTTGGTGGGCGATGAGAAGAAAATTATTAAATTTTTTTTATTACTTTTGAATTACATATATGTATGTACAAACACATATATACATATAGGACATACATCATGATCACCGGATTATCATAATCGAGGTAACATCCCGTGCAACATGTTTCCCATTTTAATTTTTAGTTAAGTTACTGTAATCTACGAAAGATCCAGGTAAGATTAATACGTAAATTTTCTCTTCAAAATTGAGGACGAGCGTGGAATAGGTGGCAGATTTTCCAAGCTCATTCTTAATGCTTCATGAGTTTTATATCAGTGAAGGTTCAACTGATCATAACTACATCTAGATACTGTAATCCAGTAGGAGATACTCATCGTATTTTGCAATATTCAAATCTGAAAATTTGTTATCCCAGGATTCTCCATTTATCATAGCACAAGGTTGCCATCAATATTTTTTCAAACCATTGAACTTCATAAAGAATAAAGGTTAGCGCCGTTAACCGTCTAGCCATCAATATTGGTGTTGCAAATTTCCATCTAACCAGAATGCATATAGAAATAAATGCAAACACCAAAACATAATCTATACATTAATACATTTATGTGTAATGCTGCCGTCAGAGTTTCTTGCTGCTCTAGAGAGTATCAACCTTTACTTTGGGCGGGAATTATGACTAGAATTTCTATTCGCAATACAGATTCTTCTTTGAATTATTCGTAATAGTAATAATGATAGAAATACCACACAACCCTATGTAATTCGAACTTTTTCGTTTTATTCGAATTATCATAACGAACAAAATAAATAATTACTATTCGAATAGAAACTTTACTATGGCTATTTGCTAGTAGGAAAAAAAAAATTTTTTTATCATCGCTACAAATGAAAAAAGCTAATTACCACAACTATTATTATTAATTGACTAAAGAAAAGAAAATTACTTTTGCTACTACTATTATTGTCACTACAAGGACCACGAAAGAAAAACAGAACTGGTCTATATGGTACGATTACTCGACAGGACGTTTCCCTGACAACTCATTTCACCAGCTAAACCGACTACCGTGTACAGATTGAATTGGGATTAGTTTTAATCTGCACTTTAGAAAACATCCTGTCGGGGAAATAGGCGCGAAACCACCCAAAGATTTCTTTTGAATGCAAGATATTCTGAAATTTATCTCTTTTACCAAATGTTTTTATTAATGATTAATAATTAATAAATAATATTAGGATTTTATTTTATCACTATAACTGCATCTATTAACTACACTAACCCAATTATCAAAGCATCAGTTGGTATTTAGGATTCATACTTGTAATCTATTCAAGTATTCATGTCTATGCTCAATAACTTTACTAAGTAATCAGTTTATATAGAATGATGCTGGATGATTTTTTTCATCAATAGAATACTATTCTGAGTTAATGGTTTCTTGTTGTTTAGATTCTGCCAATTCTAAAATATCTGACATTTTTGCATCAGTCCAGCATAAAATTCTGGTGTATCTTTCAGTAATTTCAGATCTCTTTTTCGCCAAAATACTCGATAGATTTTTGGCCAAAACTATATACAGTATATCAGATTTTATGTATACGGTTTATCTGACAGCCCGCCCCAAAGATTTCGTCCGGGCTATCTTTTTCTTTTATTTTCATATTTGCAGAGTCTATTACCTCAGAGATTCTTATTTAATGTTGTAAAGACTTGGCTTGTTATTATTGTTGTTATTATTTTATATATAAACACACATTAAAATATTAAAATAACAACACTGAAACCTAATAGAGCGAATTAACTTTATCTTGCCAAGTAATGCCAAGTAATGCCAAGTAATATCATAATTCATTGTTTCTTTTATAATAATAATATTATTAACTATTTAAAACAGATTAGATTTATATTTACTTTTTCAAGATCTTTAATCTATGTTGCTTTATAAACTGCTTTTGGCCAATATTCAATGTTTTTGGTTCATGAAAAATTCTAAATTCCCATATATGCGTTGGTTTGGTTGTTTTTTTTCTTGGCAGTCATTCCATAGTATCAGCCTAAATGATTTATTTTCCAAAATAAAGTATTGATTCTTAATCACTTATCACTTTTTAAATATACTATCATCATTAATGCAATCATTCAAATAATTAATCCAACAAACTCATTATTATTAAAGCTCGGAACGATCCAAGAAATAATAGTAATAGGCTTAAGTTATCGAGCTGAACCCGAGCCGAACGTTCAGTTCGACTTGACTTGCTCGAATTTGATGTTACGTAATGAATGATTAATCATAATATTCTTTATTTATGCCTAAAAACAATTTAAGAGCCTAATTTCTTGAACTCAGCTTGAACTTGAAAATTCAAGTTTTAATTTGAACCTGTCCCAATTCTGAATAATTCGAATAAGAATGAGTTTATATTGCGAATAGAACCTCTAATTCGATTCAATAATAATAATAAAGATTTTTTAACTGTATGTGTATATTTCAGAAAAATTTTTTATTAGAGCATAAATATTATTAAAACATGGAATCTTAATTGTTTTCATTTGTTATTTTTTGGAATTTTTAGTCCCATGTGATAATTTAATATTATATAATTCATCATTGTTTTACTTTATAATTAATTATTCAATTATCTTCGATGGTCTGCAAATTACGAGTTGACTCAAGCTAATGAGTGCTTTTCACATATAAACTCAGCTTAACTCAGCTCATTCGGAGCTTTAGTTCAGGCAATTGTTTTTTTAGCATGACTTGATGCAGTATTTGGACTAAGCATTTGAGTTATTAGATCATATCTATACAAAAATACCAATCCTCAGTAAAATCATATCTGGACAATTTGTGAAAGGATATTTCGAATACTTAAAATCATATGCCCTATAAAGAGAAATCCTTTAAATGGCCTATCATTGGATAACAAAGAGAATCGGAAAATACAAACCTCTGAATGAGTTGGCGGAACACTTGGGCAGAGTTTCAAATCCTTCAGATGAGATTAAATTAATCTTTGGGCAATTGATTCAGTAGAAAAAGTCTAATGCAGTTGCGAGATTCAATGAAGAATAGCTCAAAGAACAATTTATCCATCGACTATCTCCTGAAAATTACTTAGAAGCCGTAAGATGCGGATTGGACCTTCCTTCAGTGAATTGTATTAAGACTAGACACGTTCGAGAAAATTCCTTTGGAAATGGTCCATTGACTTCAAATAGTCCAAACCAATACAGTGCAAAAGATTCTAGTAATTATTTTTTCTATTATTTGCGCTTAGGGATTCTTTAAAATTCTTAGTTTTTATGGAAATTTTTAAGGATCCTTTAAATTTGTTGGATCCTTAATATTAACGATACTTTAATATATACTTCTTTCCTGTCACACGAAAAAAAAGTCATGTAAATATTTATACATGCAGCCCAAAGTGTCAAGTACACTATTAAAAACATAATAATAATAACACCCTTTATGCGGAAATGACTCAATTATACTGTACATGCAATAAAAGTAAATAATGTGTAAATTATGCATAAATTATAAATTATGCACCAAAAACATCAACTATGCATAAATTATGCGGTGATATATAAATAATATTCTTTGACATTGTACTTAATAAAGAATGTAATTTTTAATAAAATAGACTATTTCGTGGCCAAATGGTGCGCATTAATTGTTTGATCACCCACTTATTGACCAAAAAAATTGCAAAAAAAAAATTGCAGAGATAAATCCGGTTCCAATCCGGTTCCAATCTGGTCTTCTAATATTAATTAATATTAGAACTAAATAACGTCATTTACATTTTCTTCAAAAATATAATTTATATTATCTTAACCAATAAAATGCTAAAATGGCGCACCGTATCACTTATTCATTTTCACCATGGTGGAAGTTTGTTGTTACACGGACCGTTATACAGAACTCATTGCTTCTGAAACTTCGCCAGCATATAGTTGTTACCTCTCTAAATTGGAGATCAAGTTCAGATCCAATTCAAATCCAGTTTATCACTTACTTTTTATTGCCAGAATGTTTGCCGTGTATTGTAAAGCTACGTTGCACAATATAAAAAATTAGTGTAACATTTCAAATTTCCATTATGCTTTCATTTTCGTCGTCACTATATATATTAACATTAAAAAAAATTTTCAAATGACAAGTGTCTTCAACCAATAGAAAACCAATTTCTCGAGGATATATTCACTAAATGTTACATCATAATTTTGAGTAATACATATTTTTCTATTTTCTGGCCCCATGTTTAATTTATCACATTATCAAAAAGAGAATGTCATTGTAGTATACAGACTCCCTCTATAATGAACCTTTGGGCTGGGCAAAAAAAAATATATATAGAAATGTAAAATAAGAAATTTGTATATATAAAGTGTGAACTTGTTTTTCTAGTTTAGCTTGTTTAGCTTCCTTCTCGTTTAATTAGTACAAAATGTTGATCATTCATTATTGAATGGCGAGCGAGGGTAACAATAGTAAAAACCAATAACAACAAAACCTGAGGTTGTATGCATTATTTATTATTTATTTATATTACTATGTGAAGATTGAAAATAATTAGTTACATATATAGTTATTCATGGAAATATATTCAATGTTATTGTGGATTGTGTTATTATCTATAATTATGCAAATGGTCGTGGTTTTGCCTTTATTTATTTTTAGGAAACAAAAGTTGTTTTGATATTGTGTTACTTTTGAAAGTAATAGTAGAAGTTTCTAACTGGTGTACACTTCTATCATAAAATAAATAATAGAATAATTCTTCAGATTGTTGGTCAATATATATTATTGTTAATAAAGAAATTCTTCAATAAATTATTCTTCTTGATCATTTGTTTCATGGTCCATTTCAGTTTCATCGATTGCAATTTATTCAAATTTAGATATGGGATGTCATGCTTTTTTTTAAATCTACTCTACCAACCTTCTCATGATGCCAATTTCCTCTTTTTTTTTATTAGTACTCTAAGAATTATCGTCGATTTTTCATTGCCCTTTAAAGTTTCGCCCACGATACTTTTAATATTTTTTTTTTATTTATTTAAGTCATTATTGGAATTGGTTTTATGATTTGTCAATTAATATATGAAGAGGCCTCCGACCAAATGATAATATATCATTATATCATTATGGTAAAAATCTTTTAAGATCGTGTTTACTTGCAAATATATTTTGCACGTCAAAAAATTTACTGTTGCAACAAAATTATACATCTTAGCCCTTCTTTGATGAATGATGGACATTGCCAAGAAATGCCGAAATTTTATCCCAATGCATATGTTCATTCAAAGTTTTAGTCAAGATCTATGATGTGATTATTATATAACGAATGGTTTTTCGACGACGATGATAACACGACATTGACCAAACCAGTAATAATAAAAATAACGGAAAAGAGATTTTAGTAAAATCCGGACTTGAAATCTTGAGGGAGTATGAGAGCGAGTGGGCGAGTCAACGAGTAATTAATTTCTTTATCTATACTAAGAATTCCTGTAATGTGCCACACATTCTTATATCAGTGTCACATATTAATAAAAGAGGAATATTACAAATTTACTAAAAATGAAATTTTAATTATTTACGTTTCATATTTTAATTTTCTTTTTTTTAATTAACTTTTTTTGCCATATTTGGTTCGGTCTTTTGTTGTATTCTTATTTTATACATTCTCCATTTTTTTATATAAAACTCACAAGTTCTTATATTCTTATTATTTTTTCTTAAAAATTTTTTTCATTCCTTTCCAATTTACACTCTCATTACTTGTTATTAATTAAATAATAAGTACACCATCACCCTACATATACAATTCTCATATCCTTTACTTTTTTTCCTCTTCATCAATAATACATTTATTTCTTGGCAGTGCCTGAAGAAATTATTAAAAAGAACTTTTATATAAATTAATTCCGCTTAATAAATAATAATAATATAAAAATGCGTCCACAATTAATCCTTTCAGCTCTTTTAATTGGTTGTTCTTCATTGGTTGCTGCCTTCTCAAAAGGTGCTCCAAGTTGTGTTGCTGATACTGCTAAAATGACTGCAGCAAAGACTATGGGCACTCAGGGAGAGTTTGGTTATACCGTATCCGCCAAAGAGTTAGCAAAAGGTTATATGCCTGGCGGTCCAGCTGTCAAAGTTACTGTTGGCGGTGCTAAAACATTCAAAGGTATATTAGTATATGCCCTTGACGCCAAGAACAACCATGTTGGTTCATTCACAAAACCAGCAAATCTTCAATTCCAAACTAATTGTCCAGGTGATAATGGATCAGGGACCCTAACACATATGGGTAATTATTATTAAACTTTTTTTATTATTAATAAATTTCTTTAATAAGTTCTAATTATTTTTAAATTTCCTCTTTATATATATATATTATTTAGATGCTACCGATAAACCTCAAATGGACTTAATGTGGACTCCACCTGCTACAGCTGGCGTTGGAAAAATTATGTTTATGGCTACTTTTGTATCAGGAGGACCAAAATCACCAGCTCCCGGATTCCAACAAGCACAATCAATACCATATGCAGAACTTGCAGCAGCACCTGGAAAAACTCCTGCAGCTACCGATACCGCTGCACCACCAACAAGTACCGGTACCGCTCCATCACCCCCAGCAGGTTCCACCCCATCACCCCCATCATCCCCAGCAGGTTCCACTCCATCACCTACAACTACTCCTGCTGCTAACCAACCTAGTGGTGGAATCTCCATTTCACAATATTCAAGCTTCGGTGCTCTCGTACTTGCTAATGTTGTCGCAGCTTTTATTTTACTCTAAAAAATATGTAATTAATTTTAATTAGATAAAATTCATAGATTTATTTATAATTGTATGGTATGTGAGAAAGGATGGTGTTCATTTTTTAAAATAAAAAAAAAATATTGAAGTGTATATGACTCGAGCGAGGCTGGAAAACAAGTTTGGTCGGTTCATAATACCAAATATGGTTAAAATGTTACGCCTGATGGACCATCATGGTCAACCCAGTGATGACTATGCATGTAATATAATAAATAAGTTGCCTAATTAATCATAGCGTAGAGTCAAATTCAAAGCCCTTGAAAACGAACCACCCATATCATAGAACTATTGTATGTGTGAAATCGAAATTTATAATTAAAATTTTGGGGCGGGGTGTTTGGATATGAAAATTTCACAGATTCCCTTTTTATAACAATGAAATTTAGCAATAAAATATGCAAATCAGTATAAAAAAGTTTATTATAAAACAAACTTTTTTTTCCTTAATAAATTAAAAAAAAAAAGAAACAAAAAATGGTATCTTCAGATAATGCTATTATTTTAAAGCCAACAGGCGACCCTATGCCACTTGTTGGCTTCGGTACATCGCAGGTACCTGATGCCGATACTGTTTATCATGCTTTAAAAAATGGTTATCGATTATTGGTAAATGAATGTGTTTATATTTAAATTATTTGTTTGATTTAATGGTAATTTATTTAATGATTTGTGCTTTTCTTGATGGATGGGGATATAATGAATATAGGATGGTGCAGGTGTTTACGGTAATGAGAAAGAAGTAGGCGATGGAATTAAGAAAGCAATCGATGATGGAATTGTTAAACGTGAGGATATTTTCATCACCTCCAAGGTATAAAATAAACAAATAGACATTTTTTATGACGAATGAAGCCTTTTTTTAACCACTGGTTCGCAAATAGTTATGGAACACTTTTCATAAAAAAGAACATGTTAGACCAGCTCTTGAGAGAACCCTTAGTGATCTTAAAGTAAAATATTTAGATCTTTACTTGATCCATTTCCCTGTCTCTTTGAAATATGTTGATCCAAAAGAACGTTATCCTACTGGTTGGTATTATGATGCCGAGAATAAGTTTTGCATTCAAGAAAATGTCACCATTAGAGAAACATGGGAAGCCATGGAAGAATTGGTTGATGCTGGATTGGTTAGGGTGAGTACAAGTATGCAAGTATTCTGTATGTGTACGTACATTACTCATTCATTTTATCATATATTTGTAGAACATTGGAATTTCTAATTTTAAGGCAGTGTTGATAATGGATTTGTTGAAATATGCACGTGTCAAACCATCAGTTCTACAAATAGAACTTCATCCATACTTGACACAAGAACAATTGGTAGATTATGTAAAATCCCAAGGTTTGGCAGTGACTGCCTACTCATCTCTAGGTGCACTTAGTTATAAATCTTTAGGATTGAAAAATGACCCTCAATTGTTAAAAGAACCTATATTGGAACAGATTGCAAAGAGGCACAATAAATCTACCGCTCAGGTTTGTAGTGAATGAGTGATGATTCCAATAGCAATAACAAGAACAACAACAACAACAACAATAATATATATAATCCTCGTTATTATAATGATAGGTGGCACTTCGTTGGGCAGTTCAACGTAATATTGGGGTTATACCAAAATCAAATAATCCAACTAGAGTTGTTGAAAATCGTAAAATCCTGGAATTTACTTTGACCGACGAGGAGGTTAAAGAAATCTCTTCATTGGACAGAAAATTAAGATTTAATGATCCCGGTATAAAGGATCCTGATGTAACTTTTGGAGTTGGAATTCCTATTCACGCTTGAAAATTTTACTTTATGAGAGATTGAAAAGCACGAGTAGAAATGAATGAAGATTGATACTTTTTATTTGCTAAAGAAATTCCGTAAATTAATAATTAAAAATAAAAATTTTTAAAGTGTTTTTTATTTAACTAAAAACCGCTTGTCTTGGAATTTTTATTCAGGTTATGAAGGTGAAGGTGAAGGTGAAGTTGATGGATCAAGTTTTCAATTAATAATCTAATAACTAGCTATTTTTCCTATGCATATAATCTAGGTCCTGGCTAGCAGATTTGTTATGTCATTAATTTATTAAATTGCATCTTTAAATATTGAAATTTTTTAATGTCCCACTCAACCTCTAAACATCTAATAAAATAAGCAAATTTAATTTTGCAATTGCATTTTCTATTCATAATAGCGTGTAACATATCTTTAATTTTGTAAAAAATGTCCCCACATATTCTAATCAGAATGTGTAAATAAAATAACAATAATAATTATTGTTATTTATGTTAATTAGTGAATTGATAAAATTCGTTTGTATATTTCGTTTATCTATCAAATAATTCTTAATATTAACGTGCGTGTGATTTTTTTTTTTGATAGATGTCTATCGTTTTTCCTCTTCATAATTGATCAATTTATCATCTATCCATTCATCAATCTCACTATTGATTCTTCCCTTGCCAATCCTCGGGAACTGGCTGTCTACTTTACCTCATTCATTCATTCATTCACTCATTCATTTGTTCATTTGTTCATTCTCAAACAATTGTCACTATATCATCTTTAATTTTATTACAATATTGCCAGTTCAATCAAAAATACACTTAGTTCGAGTACCACTAAATTAAAGTACGCTTACTTTTTTTTAACGAATTTCATCTTTATCGATTTTTCTTCTTCCACTCTTTTCATAAATCATTTTCATTAATACTCAACCTCACTTCATTCTTTTCACTACACACAATTTCTTCACCTCAGTAATTTGATATCCACTTTATTCTTTTCATTTTATAATCAATCATTTGATTAATATTTATTCTAAAGAAAAACCAATCATCATAAACAAAATGATCACTTTTAAAATTTATTCAATTGCCTCTACATTATATTTGGTTTCATTGTTGTTTTAGTCGATTCAGCTAAAATCGAGTGTACTAAAACCTTTTATTGAAAATTTATGCAATCTTTTTCAGTTGGCTGTGACTCACCATCACAACCAACTTCTTTGAATGTAAGAAGATACAAGCCATTCTGGGATGAATTCGCTTAAAAACTCTCAAATTGCTGTTGGTTACCTCTGAAAACTAACGGTGAATTACTGTGCTCAAGTCAATGGAATGAATGACTCTAATAAGACTAGCTCTCGGTTCATGTGTTACAGTTTACTCGGCTAAACAAACACCTAGAGATTTAAATAATCTTCCCTTTTGCCAGATGGAGCATCAATGAATTTTAAGATGTGATTCCTTCTTTCTATAAATGAGAATTTAACTCCATCTTCGTCTGCTTCTCTCATTCTACTTCTTTTAAAATTGAGGCAAACCACTCGAAATTAAGGCTGATGGCCAAGGTTCTAAATTTTCGGTAGTTGAAAAGAATAGAGGCATTGGTATCATTTTTCTAGACTCAGGAATGAGAACCTTCATAATCCAAGTGACGAGATTATATATGTGAAAAAGGAGATATTAGTAGAATACATCGCTTGTGCTTGCATTATATAGGATCTAAGGTGAAAGGGATTCTATTCATGGCAAAGCAAATAAGCGTAGAAGGTATAAACCTTGTTCTTGCATGCACCGGAAAATTCGTAATCCTGTGGATGTATGTCATCGAAGATTGGCAAGGTGGTTGTGCGAAAACCACCAAGTAGTTTGCTCTCCAAGTTTAATCAAAAGACATTGTTAAAAAATATCCTTCTAGAAAAATCTACTCTAATACTGCAAGACAAATGCATATTGCCGTTTTCGCCGATATTTGCTTCACAAATCTCGTGAGTACCCTCGGCGTAAGGAGGTCGTCACTTGCACTGAGGAATATACTAACAAATCATGCGGATGTTGTGGAGTCATCAAGACAAACTTGGGTGGTTCAAGGATATTTAGTTGTACATTTTGCAATTCCATCATTAATTGAAATGTAAATGGAGCTCGTAATATACCTTTTGAAATATATCACAGAAAACAACAAGATTCGTTTGCGACATTAGGGCCTACAACTGAGACGCCTCATTGTAGGCTTAGTATTAGTACGAGGTTAATCTATATTTTTTTAAAGGAATTTGGACGAGGTTTGCAATATCCTAATTTCGACTTATAATTGTCACCTCTTTCCATTCACCATTTCTACTAGCCTTGCTAAATTTGGAACAAATTAACATAAAATTTAGAACAATGCAAATAAAACTTCTATTAAATGGACGGTAACTTTGCAGCCTGTTCCAATCGCCATATCTAAATACAGATGTCATTAAGGATATTGGTACATGATGCTAAATGTCGACAACCAGATACTTGGGAGTTTCAGGCTCAATGCTCACCCATATTCATCATTAGCAAATTTTATTTTTATTGTGCACATAATAAAATTTATAATACTATTGTTTCCTTTTATAAATAAAATAAATTTTTGCAATATAATTCTTCTTCTTTGTGATGTTTTTAATTAACTTTGGTTTAGGTCTTCTTGAAAAAAAATTTAAACTTTCGTAAAGTTATTTATTATGCGAGCACTAGCCCCATGATGGATGATGATGATGTGACGATATTGTACAAAAATGGAAATAGAAGAAACTCATACTTCTATCAAGAAAGTAATAATAGCATTCCAACAAAAGATCATTTAGTAGAAATGAATTGCCGTTTATTCCAAAAGCATAATGATGGAACAAGGTGGTAGATACTATTATATGTATGGTGGAGCAGAACTTATATTATACAGTTTAATTTAGCTCTCGTCAAAAGTTCAGAAGCTATTAATTAGCAAATTATGAAGATTTCATTGAATAGAACTAGTGTTTTTTATTTAGGAACTTAATTAGTTCAACAAAAAGTAATGAGGTATATCAATATCAATATTAATTAATATGTCTATATACATTTGGCATTTCCGTTGTATTACTAATTACTATTACTATTATTATTATTATTATTATAGTTACTATAAACTTTCCAATTCATTGAAAGAAAACAAAGTTTTCTTTATTTCTTTGAATAATAATGCAATTAATTAATTTCAACTTTACAAAAAAAGATAGTAGGTCCACAATTATTTATCAAATGAATTTACTTGATTGATCGATAACTTTATTTTGGAAACCAGTTAATTCTGCTATGGGATCACAAAAAATACTTGGCATTACTTGGCGAGATAAATTAATTCATTTTATTGGATATATAAAATAAAAAATAATATAAATTGGGTTAATTAAAATTCATGAAATAAGAAAATTTTCCGAGATAATAGATTCTGCAAGGCAAATATGAAAATAAAAGAAAAAGATAATCCGAATGAAATAATAGGTAATGTAAAACGGAAGATCTTCTTCGACTGCCCCTCCTGCTACTAATATTTCAAGATGTACTTCCCATTCTTCTAGAGTATTTCCCCATTCGTCATTTTCGTTGGCAATAGCTTCACCAAGAAGTCCAAGATTTTTTAGTCTTTTTTTTTTTTGATATTAATCATTATATACACATCTAAACTCGATAAGTCGGACATTTATTTATATTATAAAGTACTTCAAATAATTAATTGCTTGCGTCTGACTTATCGAGTTTATGTGTATATTAATATTATACACAGTATTAGTATATTCAATTAAAATTGTATGATCGCCCATAGTAAATCACCCACCACCCATAGAATCCTTGTATTTTACTCTCCATATAAGTTTATATTGTAATAATAAATTTACCTAACTTGTCAATGTGTCAAAAACAGGCTTATCAAATTTGGTATAGTAGATTTGTTATTTCTAATTTCTGGTTACGGGTAATGATAGAAGGTCGATATATAAATTCAAGATAAAATCCACTTCTCAAAAAATTGATTAAAAATCTATTTTAAAATATCAATCGATCAAATAAATCAATCAAATAAATAAATCAATCAAATAAATCATCAAAATGTATATCAACTTAACATTGACCTATTTTACATAAATCCACTTATTCCAGAATCATTATCATCCATGCTAATGAGTTTAATATTATATATAGGACATGCTTCTGTTAGAAGTCATAGATCAGAATATTCTGATGAAACCGAAACAATTTGGAATGAATTTACGTACCTCTTTTGATGAAAAAATGGGTATTCTCACACTAAAATGTATGATGTGTTATCCAAAGAAATTAAACTTAGTACTGGAACATTATCTGGATTCTATCGCCATCAAAGAAAACCACAAGTTCCATCATTAGATAAAATCGAAGCCTGGGTAAATAAACAAGAGAAAAATAATGATATTGTCATTAGTAGTAGTAATAAAAATAATGAAATCATAAATAAAAATAATAAATAGTATTAAATAATTGCAAATGAACATAAAGTATAGGGGTACACATATATGGCTTTAGGGCCATGTATTCCCTCCCATGCGGTTCACATTTATTTCAATATTTATATCTAGTGATTCAAATTTTATGAATTAGACACCTATTGAGAGAATTCGAATGGTAGCTGTTTTTATTCAAAACAGCCAGATATTGACTGAGTTATGGTAATTTCAGTTAATCTGATACGTTTTTTCTCATGATATGTATTACTTTATTAATAGTAATAGCAATAAAAAATTATAATTCATACGGAATTTCCGTATCTATAGATCAAATACATGTAATTTCAGTTAATTTTTCTCATGATACGGAAAATTGGTATTTTACAATTTTTTCCAGAATAATTCCGTATCTTTTATAATAACCATTTTCCATAGTAGTAGTAGATAAAATATACGTAACTTCAGTTAATTTGATACGTTTTTTAAATAACAATATAAAAAATCCGTTAAATCCGTTAAACCGAGATAAAATTGTTATTGTTATAGAAAAATTTATCTGCTAAACCCCCAAATCCGCTATACCGAGACTCACTGTGTATATAAAATTAATGATCTTTGTGCATAATTTTATATGTAAAATCGAAGAAAAAAATCACTCTGGTATACACAAACCTACCTGATCTAACCAAGATTATTCCTTGAATTATAAAAAATCAAAATATATGGAAAACCCTTTATTTTGACATAATTTTTGCCAGGGTAAACAAATAAGACTCAAAGAAAATCTTAATATGAAGTTGGTCTACCAGCTCTATAAGTTCTATAATATAATAATAAATTAAAAAATTTGTATATGTGCAATTCAATCTTTGGACTTAATTTTTTTTACATAATAATAATCAATGCAATAGTAAGTTCTAATTTCCAAGCTTAAATATTTATTTTAGAATTTGTTTATAGAAAAGTATTAATTTTTTTTTTATAATGAAACATTTTACCTAAATTGACATAATAATATATATACAGTCGAACCCTCGTTTCAACGGATTTTTGGTTTTACCCCTTGATTTTATTAATTTGTAATTATAATTAAAAAATTCTTGTTTCAACGGATTTTATATTTAAATCGCGTTTCAACGGACAACGGATTTTTTGGTAGGATTTTAGTAATAACAATAAGTACTAATCGCGTTACAACGGATTCACGTGATATATATTTTATAAAAAAAAAACACATTACTATGTTAAGATGAATAATTCTCATGAATAATTCTCACATTATTATTACTAAATAATAATATTAATCAAAATTTTCCATCTTTATAAATAATGATTTTACACGAATAATTAAACATAGTGATGTTAGCCGGTAGAAAAACCTTAGCCGGCTAAGCCGGCTAAGAACTTGAATAAATTTTTTATCTAATAATTTAGTAGACAAATATCATACTTTGTATAAATTCACTAAAAATCGGGGTTTTTTATTATTTTACTAAGTAAAAAATTCTAGCCAGCTAACATTTGATCAAATGAATTATTTATTCTTATTGAGAAATTCAATTAAAACATAATAAAAAATCGATTAATATAAAAATTAAAAAAATTAACCAACTTATTGATCAAAAAGTTTATAATTTTCTCTCAAAAACAGTATATTATGAAGATTATTTTGGTTCAATCTATTTCTTTTTTTTTAATATCAATACTATTATTAATATTACTATTATTAATATTATTAATATTAGGGAATTGTTATTCGCGCCCCTCCCGTGACTAAGTGTAGTAATGTGACCAATGAATGGCTTTAAAATGTGATGATTTTATTGGTTCATCTTTGTCTTAGTCATGGGAGGGGTGCGAATAACAAAAATGGGCATCAATTAAAAATAAAAGAAATTCAATTGTTTTTGAAAAAGAAGAAAAAATTGGGTCACAAGAAAAGGACAGGGGACGGGCATTAGCCACAATTACCTGTACCCTGTCATTTTCAATATTTGTATACGAAATTTAGAAAAGGACAGGTGCGGGACAGGTAATTTATGATAAAACAGAAAAGGACAGGCGAAACCAAGGGACAGGCGTGGCAAATGTGACCCTGTCTTTAAGTTACTTTAAATGGAATGATTCTAATAATTTTATAAGTTACTTTAAATGGAATAATTCTAATAATTTTATAAGTTACTTTAAATGGAATCATTCTCTACTTACATAAGTAGTAACTATTATGTTTTAATGGATGGTTACACAGAATATGTATAATAAAAGAGAATGATTATTATGTATGACTTTTTTATTTATTATGATTATGATTATGATAATGAAATTATCGTGAGAAGATTATGAAATTAGTAATTAGTATTAGACGATTATGAAATTTATCGAATATGGATTTAACGAGCTTTGAAAATATTCAAACAAAAAGGAAAAAATCCCATTGTCACAATAACCCAATTTATGCAGTTGTTGTATGTGAAATTGAAATACAGTAATGGACTTCTATTCTTTTATTAATTATTGACCTATGGCATATACCATTTATGTAAATTAAATGTTATCATTTATACAAATAATAGAAATCAGGAAACTGACTGTCGATGTTTTCAATGTTTTATTTATTATTATGCTTACAAAAAAGGATTTTTGTTGTTCCACGCAAAATAAAATATTAAAAAATAAATACCCGATATTCAATATTGAATGTTGAATGTTCGATTTTGAATATCAAAATGACATTTTTAGAATTTTCAAGAAAATGTAAAACAACAATAATAATAATATAATAATAATAAATAAAGTCCCTTTATCACAAATTACGCCCAATTCGCACAGCCATACTTTTGTGTGACCCATTTTTTATATTTTAATTGAAAACGTAAACGCTGAATGATTTAATATCTTTAATCTTTTGGTAGAATTATAAAGGAGAGCTATGGAAGATAGATCTATCGATTTTGGAAGGTTATTCGCAAATTTAACTGGACCTGAGCAGTTTTGCAATGGAAACGCAAAAGAATGGTTTAATTGGGCGAGAACTATTAATTTTACGCCAGAGGATATTTTCTGTCCAAATAACCTTGATGAATTGAAAGCATATGTAAAAAATGCAAGAAATAATAACAAAAAGATTCGCTGTGCTACTCAAGGGCATAGCTGGAGTTCGCTCTCTGTGACACAAAGCTGTTTGGTGATTTTATGTGATAATTTGTCAAATGTCGAAGCGGAAAAGAAGAAAGATGAAAATGGAGATGTTTACTGGGTGGCTCATATAGAAGCTGGTATGTTGGACGATGATGAATGCAATTTAACTGATGATCATTTTTAAATCTGTACTTCTGTACCGATTAATTTGAAAAACCAGGTGCAACAATCGCGAAAGTTGACGAGTACCTTAGGAGACATGAACCACCATTAGCAATCGAGTCTATGACTGTTCTTGATACTATTAGATTCGGTGGAACTATCGCAACTGGGTGCCATGGTGCTATAACTGATTCAAGAACACTTGCTGAACAAGTTGTTGGTTTGGAAATAGTGACTAGCTCGGGTGAAGTACAAAAATTTGAATATGACCCTAACAACCCAGACGAGATGGAAGCTGCACGTGTCAATTTGGGTAAGTAGATAATGTATGGAGCATTGGAGTATTGGCCGATCCTAAAATAATATATAACTTTTAATCACTCCTATAGGACTCTTTGGTGTTATTTACAAAATATCCTTTCTTGTTAAGCCAATGTACAAACTTCGAATGAGGGATATTTACCCCGAATTAAGAACTTTTACTAGTGAAAATATTAAAGATTTTGTGAAGAGTCCTGTAGTTGACGGAGTTGAGATATTCTATTGGCCATTTAATGAATCACGTATTAATAATTGATATAAGACTGTTCATTTCAAACACAATTACATCTTTTTCAAATTTTAACATTGTTCCATCGTTATCAGGTCATTCAACTGACTCTTCGAAAGATAAACTTTGGGTAAAAGTATGGGAAAACGTAACTAACGATCAACAACCCAGTCTAAATCAAGATCAGGTAAAGGCGTTTCGCAGAAAACAGGAAGGTTTTAGTCGCCTTGCCAACGGTTTTTACAAACATCTTATAGATGATCCAACCAAGACTCCAAAGATCACATTCGATGCCGGATTACTTAGGAAAGAATTTATAGACGATAAGATAAATAATCTGATATGGGAGGTACCAGATGCGACCCATTACCAGGCAGGAATTGACAATATCCTTTGTCGGGATTTGGAATTCGCTATTAAAGCTGACAAAGACTTCGAAAACATCATCACAGAACTGAATCATGTTGTCGATAGAGTATGTGTTTATCTATACCTCGGAGGGATTTTTCTGCCATGTTATTTTATAGATTTTAACATGTTATTACTCTCAATAGATTTATGAGGAAAAACAGAAACAAAGATATCCCATTAATTTAGTCATTGAACTACGGATTCTTAAAAGCTCGACAGCTCTCCTGTCAACTGCATACGACGAAGATCCCGATGCCTATTATTTCTTTATCGAAGTTCTTTCTTTCAGATATTTCAACAAAGATGATAACACCTGCATAGATACAGAACACTTTGAGGAGTTTTCCCATGAACTTGCCGAACGATGGATGGAAAAATATAATGCGAGGTGATATAACCTGTTCTATTTGTTGTGAGAACAAGCAACATGATTTTTTAAAATATTAATTCTCGTTATTTTCTACACTAGACCTCATTGGGCCAAATCTTGGGAAAATGTTCCGAACATTAAAGGTTATCTGCACAATTTGCTGAAAGAACGTATCCAAAGATTCGAAGCTGTCCGCACAAAATATGATCCAACGAATATGTTTTTTGATAACGATTCTCTCCGCGAGGTGTTTTATGGACCAGGAAACTTGACTTAAAATGTAATAAATTTGGTTGCCAAATGTCAAATTATTTTTGTACTATTAATAATAAAGTCATTAGTTAAAAAAACTTTTTAGAGTGTCGTATAACTCTACTTGTCCATAATAGAAAGAATTTGGAAATATCCTATTTCCAAGCCTATCCTTGCTAATACCATGTGCGACGATACCGATTCATAATGATCCGTTATATCCCATGATCGATATATATTATTTTAAAATGACTTTCTTCATGATTCGATCTTAGGTTGTATCTCACCCAAGTTGCATCATTCTAACGATGCATAGTCTTCTTTATATCGTAAATTAAGCCATTCATGGATATGTAACTTAAAAATTATAAATATTAATTCATTTTTAATGTGATTATGTTCTATGAAACTTCGCAGAATGCAAGTCCGAATTCTAATTCTTCTTCATCCAAATTCTTCTTCATCCAATATGTAAAAGAAAATCTGGCTTTCCCGGTAAGTTTTTATTGACTATCTTTTGTAACTCTATTGTTGTATTGATTGATTAAACAAGTAAACTAGTAAAACTTTGATGTAAATTTTCGTATACAAGTCACTCTTGGTATGGTGGACTATTTATCCCAAATTAAAAGCTAATGTTGTGATTGTAGTAAATGAGTAATTGTAGTAGTAACAAAAGAAGAATAATTATTTGCGGTAGTTTGAAAAAATTTATCAATTGTGTGTTGCACAAATCATTTTTAGCAAATAAATCAAAAAAAAATGATACTCAAGAATTTTCTTCCATTCTTGATAAATCAACAATTTAAATCTAAAATTATCATTAAAAAAGTAACAAAAAGAAACTTATTGACATGTGTTCAAAGAACCAAACCTCAACCTTTTCTTATTACTACTCCTAATGTAGCAACTAATTCAAATTTGGTAATTGTTCAAAAAAGAATGAAGGGTGGTGCAAAGCAAGGTTCATTAAACTTATTTAATTTCATCATTATTCATTTATGTATTTTATTAATAAATTAATATTATTAATAATTGTTTAGTAAAGAAACCAACATCAATCACTCAAAAAACTAAAAGCTACAAAAAACCAAAAGTTTCTGAGGTTCGTGTAACATTTACCTATCTCTTTATATTAACATTACATACCAACCAATATTGTGACCATTAACACTACTATGGTTTAGGCACAAGCAACTATTGATTCATCTTCAATCCATAATGAAAAATTTGCCAAGAATTTGCCAATAGTTGAATTGGAAGAAATGTCATCTGTATGGTTTTTTATTTAATTATTGTTTAATGGATTGATTGATGATTTTAGAAACAAAATATTTTTGATCTCTTAGTAATGTTAGATTTATATTTAGGATGTTTTTGTAGAAGAAAATATTGGTAAAGTTTACAAATTTCCAGATCAAATAATTTCTAAAATTAAAACTTTTGGATTACCTGGAATGTTATCAAAAGAGGTAGATAATTAATTAGATATATATATATATATATATAATATGACATATTTATATTTGGAAAAGAATTAATCAATATTTTCTTAGTATGAATTTGTAAGACATCCTTCCTTGATGATTCGAGAATCTTCAGTGGGATTGATTGATATTCTTAAAAAAGCATCAGAAAATTCTAGTTTAAAATCAAGATACATTTTAGGTAATGGACTTACTATTATTATTACCATTATCATCATCATCATTATCGTTTTTTTGATATTATGTAATGCAATAATTTTAAATTATTTTGGTAAAATAAAGCTGGACCTTTAGGTTCTGGGAAAAGTGCATTGTTACTACAGGCTATCAATTATGCACTTTGCAATTCATGGGCTGTTATTTATATCCCTGATGGTAAATTAACATATAATTATTTTTTAATTTATTATTACTATACTATTATTATTGATGATGTTGTTGTTGTTTAGCTATTAAGATTGTAGATAGTAGATATCCTTATTCTAAAGCTTTAGTGGGCGAAGAATATGTTCAGCCAACATTGGTTTCTTTATTGTTGAGTCAAATTAAGAAAGTCAATCGTATAATTCTAGAAAGTGTACGTCACTCATTATAAAATAACATAAATAATAATATGATGAATAATAAGAGAATGATAACGCTAATAATAACGATTATAATAATAACAATGATGATGATGATGATGTATAGTTGTCAATTAGCGAAGACACAATGAATGAATTCAAATTGAAAAATCAATTATCATTAGATAAATTATTGGAAATTGGAATTAAAGATATTCATCTTTCACAAAAGGTTTTCGAAAGTTTCTTAAAAGAACTTTCAAATAATGAGAGGTATTTTAATTGATTGACATTAATTTATGTGAAGAAATTAATTCTAAAAAATATTATTCATAATTAATATTATTAATAATAAATCATGTCTGTAGATTTTCAGTTTTACTGGCGGTCGATGTAGTAAACGCTTTCTATACCAATTCCGAATACACAGATAACAATGATAAAAAATTAGAATCTAATAGATTATCATTACCTCGTTCAATGTTGGAATATATTTCAGGAATTAAAATTTTTGTAAATATACTAAAATATTCTAAATACTCTAAATATTGAAAGAATTATTAAATTTAATTTAAAAAAAAAAAAAAAAGAAAAAAGGAGCAATCATTGGAGCCTTGTCACAATCATATATGCCATATATCAGTAAACCATTAGAAGAGGCACTTAACATTAGTGAGTCATCAGTGTGGAATCCTCGTTCACCCACAATATTACAATATACAAAAGATTTACAACGATTTGATGTCAAAATGTATACTCTGAAGGAGGCGAAGGGCATTTTAGATTATTATTATAATACTATGATCAAATCAGGTGATTTTATTTGAACAGTCAATACTTATATTAATTGATTTATAATACTATTAATATGCTCTTTTATTTAAAATTGAATTTAGATCCAAAAGATTCATACTTTCTTAAACAATATTTTCTTACGAATGGTAATCCAAAAGAGTTTTATTTAAATTGTTGGAAAGGATTCACTAATTGAATTGAATATTATATTAACTATTATAAAAATTAAAAATATTGTTAAAGTTATTGAGATGTTTTTCTTTAATGTTTGCTGTAAGCACCCTCTGACTAATAAACTCATTCAATTAATATAATTGACAGATAGATACTCGTTACAAGTGATCAGTGGTTCTCAAGACAAGTTATTTTTGAAGCTATTATATTTATTAAAATTGATTGAACAAATCGGGTCCTTATTGATGATCAAATGAAAATTCAAGATTTCTTCTCTAATGTACCTGTTCTAATGTAAAATTATACCAGAAATAGAACGTTGTCGCATGATACAACATAAAAATTTTTCCAAAAAAGATGGGTTGTGACATTGCCTTGACGACTGCAAATGCAGAATGCGAATGAAAGTCCGTCTCATACACCTCCTCTAAACAACAGAAACACTTTATCTCGATTTCCTAGTTGTTGTCACTCTTAGCGAAAGGTCATGACTAGCTAGACAGATTGCCATGTTTATGAGAATTACAGTTTTACCAAATCTTAAAAGAATTACACATGATTAGAAGGAAAACGATAAAGTAAAACTTTGTTTACGAGAAAAAGCCTTAGATGGCATTGATGCTTTTGTCCTCTGATTAACAACAACAATGAGTTCTATTATTATCTTGGATTCAATAATAGCAGTAAATTTAGATATATCGTTTCATTTAAACAACAACAACAGTAGTATTGATTGTAATCATAATTAATTAAGTTACTGTTTTTGCAATGCTTAGATGAAGAATGTTCGGGACAACAGCAAAAGGATGCGGAGGGCAGGTTCTTGTTTTCTTCCTTATGTTTTTACTTGCTGCGCCAGTAAACAAAAATTTTACTTGATATATTTTATTTAAATTTGTTTTATTAAATTGCAACTTTATCTATTATGTGTTATTTATAATAAATTTTTAAATTATAGAACTTTAAACATTTTTTTCAGTACGGAGATCATGTTTTTAATGGTAAATATTACAATAATCAAATAATCATACTTTATTATTTCTTCGGGCATGAATCCTCCAAATATTATCTCATGCTCGTATTCATTCACGCCACTCATGTAAAAAACTAGGTTGGAAAATAAAGTTGCAGATGAACATCCAAAAAAGATCACAATTTAGCATTTGTTGTTAGTTCTTCAACAGCAACAAAGTATATCAAAAGCTCAACATGTGATGCAAAGTTTAGTAGCTAGAGCAGAAAAGTCTTCAAAATCTTATGGATATACATTAACATCAACTGCATCTGCAACTTCAGCATCATTATCATTATCATCGAAAGCAGCAAAAGTAATAGGTAAAAGTAAATCATTGGTAATTTAATAATAATACTTAATTACAAAAGGTAAAAGACATGCAAGTAAATGGGATATTCCTGCAATAAAACCAACATCATCATAAACATCATTACTGCCACCAACAACTGCCAACATGTCATCATCATCATCACCATCATCGCTATTATCATCGTCATCATCAAGTTCCATCATAATAATAATAGTAATCATAGTCGTAGTAAAAAACAAAAACCATGAAATGTTAAACAAATTAATTCTTAATTTCAAAGTGATTCAATATTAATTATTGATAATATATAGATATTAACATATATTACTTATTAGCTGTTGTCATTACATTGAGAAGTAAAAATATTATATGTAGGATTTTTTATTATTATCTAAATGTGGAAGAGGATGAAGTAATAATTTAAAAAAAAGATCTAATTAATCTTTCATTGTAAGAATAGTTCCATTTGTAAAATCACAAAAGGCTTTATGACAAATTTTATTTATTATAATATCTAATGTGAATTTTATTCTATGATTAAATATATTTTATGCTGTGGAATTAATATAAATAAGGTATTATCAATTAATTAAACATGCATATTGAAATTAAAATATTATTTAAATTGTAAAAGAAAATTTAAAGTATCTATTATTAGATTATTTAATGATATTTTTGGTTTATAAAAGATGTGACACTAATTAAAATAATAATAACAGTAATTATTATTATTATTAGTAAAAAAATAATTGAAATTTTTTTTTATTCAGAAAACAAACTTTGTTATTTACCTTGGGATAACGGATTGTGATTTTAATAAAACTTCTTGCCATTCCGTTTCTGGGTTTGAAAGATTTATGATAGCACCACCAGCACCAACTGATATATCTAAAAAAATACATGCACATATTACATATTATTTATTATTATATTATATAAAAAATACATTTGGAAAAAAGTTTTTTTAACACACCTTTTTCATCACAAATAATAACTGTTCTAATGACAACACTGAAATGAGCACCACCTCCACAGTTATTAGGATTATTTGGCTCATTTAATGAAATATAACCTAAACAACCAGAATAAACACCCCTTGGGGTATAATTTTCTAATTTTTCAAGTAATTGTACACTACGTAATTTAGGAGCACCAGTCATTGATCCTACAAACATTATAAAAAATTGTTAATAATAATCCAGAGTGGAAGAAAAAAAAACAAAGAAGTTATCTTACCAGGAGGAAAGCAATTTTTGATGACATTAACATAATCTATATTTCTATTTAAATTTCCTTTAACAGTTGTCACAAGTTGGTGAACACTTTTATATGATTCTACCTTCATCAAATATGGTACTTTGACTGTATTAGGAATACATATCTGTGAAAGGTCATTACGTATTAAATCCACAATCTAAAAATCAAAAAATGGCTTATCATTATTATTTACTATATAGTTTATGTATGTAATTACTTTCACGATTTACTAACCATCAAATTTTCAGCTCTTTCTTTAACATTTCTTTTTAGCATATAAATTCTTCTTAAATCTTCCTCCTTTCTTTTAATTTTACAACACTCTTCGTTATCACATTTGTTATCATAATATTGATCCTTTGTTTCATTAGTCTTCTTTTCACAAAAGCATTTATTTGCTTTTGCAACTGTACCTTTTATTGGCTTCATCTCTATAACTCCTTTATCATCTATTTCTAAGAACTTTTCAGGTGACGAACTTAATATTGATAAACTTAAGTTATTGAAATAAATAAAAGCTGAATAAGGAGCAGGATTATTTGATCTAATGTAGTAATACAACTCTAGAATATCATCAATATTTTTTAGTTTATTTGGCAACTTGGTATGAAATTGTGTTGTAAGGCATAATTCATAACTTTGACCTTCGTAAATCAATGATTTTGCTTTTTCAATAGTATTTAAATATTGATCTGAGTTCATATCAGGAATGAAATTTGTAAAATCAATAGAAACGTTATCTTTATTGTCTTTATGATTATTAAAAACATTATTATAACAATAATTATCAATACTATTATTGTTGTTATGATGGCAGCAGTGGCTCTTATTAATTGGTATTTCTTCTTGGTGTTTTTTTAGAGCAATTATATTATTTAAATTTTCTTCAATTGATTTTGTCAATGATAAGAAGTCAGTAAGAGAAAGTCCTGGGAAAATTCCCAACTCTTCTTCCAACTCATTATAATCTATCAATGAATTGCCATCATCATTTTTAATTAATCCAATTGACCATAATCTTTTTTTTAAGTGATCAAATACTATTGCATATGTTGAAAATATAAATGCTGAATCAGGACATTTATTGTTTGGGCCAACACCATTGGGAACAACCTTTACATAACCAGGCATAGATTCACATTTCATTTCATAGCCAAAATAACCAACCATTCCCAAGCGGAAATCAAATGGTATTATTAGATGCTCTTTTTTTTTTAATTTTAAGATATCATAAAGCAATCCATTATTTTTTAATATTTTTGTGATGCCAATATTTTGATTAATTAGTCTTGTTGCATTTGACATCCAATCCCAAAATGTTTGATTTTCTTCTAATTTTTTTGAAATAATTTTTCCATTTGTGCAATGTATTTTCAAATCTTTTTCTAAAGTGGAATATGACACTGAAAACGTATTTGAAAAATTTGGTGTTGAACCCATAAATGAAAATCCATTTTGTGAATCTTGTTGCTATTGAATCAAAAAAAATTTTTTTGAATTAAAAATGTTAAGAAAGAAATTATTAATAATATAAGTGTGTATATATGTATATATATTTATATATATACACATACCATGGAATTATCTAACCACCATTTTCCTACAAATGAATTGTGCTTACTGACAATTTCTTTAAACACCAGGTATGGATCTAACCATTTATTCTCGTGAAATTGTTTCATTACAAGATAATATTTTGGTTTATTATTATTAATCCTTGTTATTGGATTGAAAATAAAAAAATTGGAAGGAATTACTGAAAGTGCTGAAATATTATATGGAAGCTTTGGTCTTGAAAATGTTAATCCTTGCTGATAATTATTAAAAGTGTTAATATTATTTATTAACATTATGCTTTTAGTTGGAATTGAAATTCACTGTAACCTTTTTTCCATGGTACTTTTTTGTTATTTCGTTAAAATTCTTTATTATTTTATAACCATATTCTGTGCAAATAGACTATACATATGTATATTTAATATAGAAATTAAAAGATTAATTGAAATTTATTCTTACAAAATGACAAAATAATTAAATAATTAAATAATTCAATCTTGACAAACCATGCCTCTGGATGAAATTGTACACCATAAATCGGTTCTTTTATATGTTTTAATCCCATGATTTTACTAGATTTTTCTAAAGAATGACTAGATGATGGTGATGGTGATGGTGGTGGTGAATATTGATTAAACGAATGATCTTTTTGCAAATTATTTTCATCAAAACACCAAGCTGATACAATTAATTCTGAAGGTAAATCTAAACAAATCAAATAAATTATGCCAGTTCAATATTAAACAGTGTTAAATAATAAAATAATTAATAATCATGATATTTACTTTCATTATCAACGACTAAACTATGATATCTAACTGCCCAAAATGGATTCGGTATTCCAGAAAATAAGGAAATGTCGCCATCTCCACCATCGTGATATATAAGGCTTGATCTTCCGTGCATAATCCTTTCAGCATTTTTAATCTAATTCAAAAATATAAATTTTTGTTTAATAAAATTATTTTAGATGATATATATTATTAAGCAAAGTTTTACCTTTCCACCAAATGCATAACCGATTCCTTGATGTCCTAAACATACACCAAGTATTGGGATGTTATTTAATTTAAGAATTTTTGAACAAATACCAAAATCCTAATTTTTTTTTAATTAATATATTGATTGGAAAATTTATATTTATTTCCAACACATAAATATCAAATAGTATATTACCGATGAATTTTCGGGACTTCCTGGTCCTGGAGATATTATAATATTATCAAAATGTGGTAGAATGTTTTGTTCAAACTCGGTCCTTTATTAAGCAAAAAAAAAATTAACATGATTATTTCCTTTAAAAAAAATTTTTTTTGAAAAACATCAAACATTACCAAGAAAATTGATCATTTCTAATAACGATAACATTTTCAGTATTGTTCAAAAGTTGTAACAAATTAAAGGTATAAGAGTCATAATTATCAATTATTATAGTTCTTGGCGAATAACCTTTCGAATCTAATTTTGTAAGTGTCATTAGATATCGATAAAATTGCTAAATGTCCACTGGCGATCGATCAATTTATTTGTAATAGTAATTGGTTACACAAGGTTGTTGACTATCAATTATGAATTATGACTCAGTAAATCAAATGTTTTTATTTATTTTTTTAAAAATAATCATGGAACTAAATTATTCCAAATTCAAGAATAAAGGAAAAAAAGTTAATATTCTACCCAAAAAGTATTTATTATTTACAACTCTTGAAATTTCAAACGATTAGTGGTAATTTACTCATAATAATAATTAATTTGTCAATAGTGGGAGATGTTTCATAAATGAAATAGCAGTGGAAATTCTTTCATACATTTTTTCAAATCTCGATCCGATAATTTTGGTAAATATCGGGAATCGAAATTTTTTTAATATTTAATAAATATATACCTCTCCATATTAATCATCATTTTATAAAAACAAAAACAAAAAGAGCAAAGCTTCTCGAGTTTGTAAACACTGGAGACTCGTGATAAGCGATGATAATTGCTGGAGAAATGCATTTTTACGATTTTTTGGATGTGCTCCATTTAGGTAATATATTTATCTTTTCGTCATTATTATTATGACTAATTGACTAAACAACCTTTTATTTATTTACTTGATTTTGTTATATAGGAGATTAACTAAAGATAGTTGGAAAAATGAATATATTGCTCGAGTTAACTTGCTCAGGTATATATTTAATTTTTAATAATTCTGATTATATTATTATTATTGTATATGATAATGATGATGCTACTCATATAATATATATTTTATAGAAAATGGAAAAAAGGAAAAGGGTCATTAATAAGTTTTGAAACAAAAGTTGGTAAAATTGATGATTTGTATGTTGATTTTGATAATTCTTGGATGTTGGCAGGATCATCAGATAGAGGTTAGGAATACGATTGATTGCAGTGATTATTGATTTCATCCGTCTTCGCTATGATGTTGATGTTTTATATGTTTTTGATTAAAAAATAGGAATAGTTGCAAGGTGTAATCCAAAAACTGGAAAAGTAAATAAAGATTTAATATCTACAAGTGGAAATATTGTTCGTCCAATTTCTGCCTTGTTAGTTGATAGGTAAGAATAATAATTAAAAATTATCTTTATTAGTAAAACCTTTATATATGCGTATATATATATTATTTTAATTATTTACTTACTAATTTTTTTTCTGATATATATAATATATAAGATGGGTTTATCTCCCATCATAAATTATTCATTAATTTCGTCCATTTCTTATTATTTTATATTCCACTTGTGATCTTTTTTCTTTTAATCCATCTAACTATCCACTCATATATATATATATATATCACCAATTTCAAAAACATCATAAAATTGATAAAACTATATATATATATATATAATAAAGAAATCAAATTCTTTGGGGTTACGAAACTGGTGAAATTGGAATTACTTTTATGAATAGAAATGCTTCAGAAAGATATTATAAAAAGCTTTATGATTATGGATCTCGTTCAGGATGTGTAACTTCATTGGCTTGGGACAGAAAATACGACAATATAGTAGTTAGTGGTAGTTCAGATGGTGTGGTAAAGCTATGGGACACTGGTAAATTAATGTGTACCAAGAATTTCAGAACTAGTAAGAAATTTTTTCTAATAATAATCTGTTAATAAGTTATAGTTATTTTATTTTAATTTTTAATTATGTATTTTTTTATTATTGTTTTTAAAAAAATTAAGGCTCTAATTTTGAAGATAATTCAAAGGTTACCATTATAAAATGGAATGCTCGAAAATGCTTGATTGCAGGAACAGAAAATGGCCTTATTCATATATGGTGGTTTGATGCAACAGCTTTATTTCAGAAAAATAATAATAATAACTCCCAGACAGAAATTCCACATATGATAATTAATGATAATTTCGATGAATCAAATGAAATTTTGTCAATACATTATCACGAACAAATGGAGTTTATAATAGTTACATACAAAAATTCCTATGAAATTAAAAAATACGATTTGAAAACTTTAAAATGCATCACCATATTTAAACAAGGTCATTTTGCCAATATAACATGTACAACAGTAGATTTACATGACGAGTCACCTAACGATAAAGATGTTGTTAGAGATGATAGCGGTAATCATAACGGTAATGACATTATTGAGAAAACTTTAGTATCATCAAAAAATCTTCTTGTAAGTGGTGATTCTGTTGGTACTGTATGTTTGTGGGATGTGGGTTTAAGAAATAGAAAAGACAAAGATGACGGAAATAACAATAATAATGATAGCAATCAGGAATGTTTGTTTACTAAGCCGTTAAGGTATTGTTTATAAAAAAATTCTTGATTAAATTTGTTTAACAAATCTTTTTTTTTTGTATATTTAATTCATTTAATTAATATTTATATGCAAACATTTTAGAATTTTTAACAATAATCTGTTGTCACCTATCACATCTCTACATATTGATGCTTTCAAGTTACTGGTTGGCAGGTAATTAATTCAAACCATTTTCAAATATATTTATTTGTCTTACAACTAAAAATAGAGTCATCATTTAATTGTTTAGTTCTGACGGTAGTGTGAGTGTATGGGAACCTTTAACCTCATGTTTAATTCGTACATTGAATCAAAAGTAATAATATAATCACCTAAATATTTGTTTTTACTTTTAATTATAATTATAATTTTAATTTTAAACCTGACTATATTTAATCAACGAATCGATAAATGAATGTTTTAGTTACAAAAGATTACCGAATAGATATCAGACACGATTATTGGATGGAGAATTAGCTGTAAATTGCATTTATTCGAAAGATTATCAAATAGTATTCAGTACTGGTAGTACAATAAATTCTTGGGATTTTACATCTGCTACTGGCTCAAGTATGTTATTTAATATTAATATCAATCTCATTGGATTTTCATCAATGTTTGTTAAATTATTTTATTGTTTACATCAAAATAGCAAATCAAATTAAACAAAAAAAGAAATCAACATCAATAACAGCACCCAAATATCTAAGTAATTTTTTTTTCCTTAACTTACATATATTTGTATTTGCTTATTTTATTTGATATTGGAAAATGATTAACGTTTATTATTAAATAAATAAATAGGTAGAATCGAATTACAAAATGATGTGAAAGAGTCAAAGAAACTGATCGAACAAGAACGTATAGAAAAAGAAAAATCTATTTTATTTCTAAATAAATTTTCGCCTTTATTAGATTTAACAGATGATGAATTGTTAGATTATGCTATGATTATTTCTAAAGATGAGAGTAATAATAATCAAAAAATTGACGAGTGTGAGGAGGATAAAGGAATCAGAGAAGCAATTTTGAGATCATTAGAAATTAGTGGTGATGCTGATGCTGATGCTAATGCTGATGCTGACGAGTGTGAAGATAAAGGAATCAGGGAAGCAATTTTGAGATCATTAGAAATTAGTGGCAATGCTGATGCTGATGCTGATGCTGACGAGTGTGAGGATAAAGAAATCAGAGAAGCAATTTTGAGATCATTAGAAATTAGTGGTGATACTGATGCTGGTGATACCAGTGATATTAAAAAAATGTAATTTTTATATGGAGGTCAATGATACGTGTGCTTTTCTTTGTAATAATAATTATATTTTATCGATTAATCAATGTATTTTTTAAATAAAAGCAAATAACTTATTTTTATTTCCAAAGTGTTGTGCAATTGGAACATTGTAATGCTATTGGAATGTTCCAATGTAAGATCTTCAATTGGTATTGACCAATAAAATTCGTGTGTGTGATACTGTAATTGAATTTCATTGGTTAACTTCATTGGAACCATAAATGAATGGCACAATGCTGCCGAACGGTAACAATAAAACAGGGTGATCCCTTACCACCCATACATTCACTTTTTAGTATAAGATAGTCTTATTTCTACCCAATCATGGAGTTTTTAGTGTTCATTATTTAGCTTTACCCGAGTCGACCCAGATCCAGCGTTTTGTCGGTGTAGCATTATTATCCAATCAAATTAACAGAGGAAAAGTTAATGATAATGTCCATGAAGTAACAATGTGTACTCCTTTGAAAATTTCTTGTTTTATTGGTACATATTTACTTGCAGAAAATGTTTTATTGTGATCCAAAAAACTTTTCAAGTTTTTTATGCAGTTGCAATAAAAACATAAATCCTTCAATTAATAATAAAATCAAAACCGAAAAGTTTTAGGAGTGTAATTTTGTGGTCGGAGTGTGTCCTGGTGTACTACTATGCACCTCCCCAAAAAAATGAACTTTGAATATGAGTATGGTGCTAATAAACAATCTCTTGAAAAGAAAAAAGTTTAATTCATAAATAATTTGCTAGAACCTTTCCTTATTGCATTATATATATAACTCCAATAATTCCATCCAATGTAAAACTGTGTATCTTTTACTTCTGATTAGGAAATATGTGAAAATGGACATTCATTCTTAGTGATGCATCAGCAAGAATTAGTTTCTAAGGCCAAAAATTCATTCAAATTTTATATCTCAAAATTTCACTATGTGCTTTTGCTGCCTTTTCAAACTATTAAAAAAATGATTATTTGACAAATAAAGGTAATTACTTTTTTTTTCTTGTGATCCCATAAAAAATAAAGTGATTGATCTCTAATGTTAGTATTGATACTCTTTCCCCAGTTTTATTTCCAATTCATTTATAAGTTCATCAAGGTAACACCAGTCTTTCTTTCATTGAATATCAGATATTAAATATAAAATATTTTTTAAATCTTCTGCATTGAATAGTTTTGGCTAAGTTCCAAACAAATCTATGAGACACATAAGAAATTGCATCTAAAATTCATTATACAAAAATTAGTACTTGCATTTCATGAGCTTTATATATTTTTATATTGAAGTAAAAATTTAAAACTCATTTAAAACTCATTTATAATAATGAAGGTTTATTGTATTGTTAATATTAATAACCATAACAAATAAAAAGTATAATTTACAGTTGCAAAATTCATTGTTTTAAATTTAAATAATAAATACAGCAATGATGAATGACAATAATTGCATTACTGAAAACAATGTATGTTGATTTAATAAAAAAAAGGAAATAATACAGATAATTCTTTACAATAAAAAAGTTTAACATCAAAAGAAAATCATTATCAAATTTGGTGATGTAATCCGTTAAAATACCACAACAAATTTTATGAATTTATCGAATTATGACATTATCGAGAGTCGGAATAGAAATGTATGCCTTTAGAACTTTTCTTATAAAAAGATGAGATTTCCGGTAAAAAAAATTTATTGTAATTATGAAAAACTCCCAATTATTTATTAGCCAAAGGCTCTTCGCAAATTCTACGCTTTCAAGAAAAAATAAATTTGTTTTTTGTCAATTGAAATCTTATTATCATCTATATTTCTACACTTAATAAACTTGAATTCATTTTTTATATTAACAAGGGAAAAAAATTTGAATTTACTACTTACGTAATAGTAATATTTTAATTGTTACAAGAGATACGAATTTAAAGAGCAAGATTTTTTATATGATAGCATATAATAAAAGTAAGAGTGTTATGATTTTACCGATTATCAAGATTTTATTATGATTATGAAATTATCGATAGAATTTTAATATAATTAGCATTGGTTCCTGAAAAAATTATGAGTTTAGGCGATTATGAATTTATCGAATATGAACTTAACGAGCTTTGACGAAAATTATTATCGTATTGAACATAACTCTCAAATTTAAAAAAATCCATGAGAAATTTTTTTCTCGGATTTTTTTTACATGAATTGACTCCCTTTTTTAAAGCCCGAACGGCGGCGGTTTTTTTTATAATCTAACATGTGGAACAATAACATTATATTAGATTCAGATATGAGTTTTATTAATAATTGGCGAACATCAATAACAACTATATTAATATAATTTTTAGATAAAAATATGGATAGTTTTTTCAATGGTTACGTATGAAGTTACATATCTCATATGTGTAAAGTTTATTTGAGATGTTATATACTAAAATGGGTAAAGAAGGAAAATGTTATATGCTTAAAAGGGTAAAAATTTTTGGATAAAGTTTCCATTACTAATAGCAATTTACCATTACTAATAACCTGGATGTTTGTTACCTCAATTATAATAACCCCCGGAGTCCTGTATCCGCCAATGTTGTTTAGCATATATTAATATAAATTACAAATTTGGGATAATATTTGAATACATTAAAATGTACAATGAATGGATGAATGACATTCTTGATTCGAACAATTAATATATACTACCTCCAACTTAAATTTGGTATAATGGGCAAACAAGCTGAACTAAACTAAAACAATTTTATTTATGGAAAAAAACAGTCATAAAAAATCATTGACTAATGAGGTAAAAATATTTACATATTTAACAAACACGTTGTTATTTTTTATATGACCTGCGAAGTTTCTTTCTAGAAATGGAAGGTGATTCATTATTGTTCAATTTTTCTTCGACATTTGTTGATGATAAAGTTAGCGTAACAACACTATTATAAGTAGATTCGTTGTTGTTGGCAATGTTTTTTTTAGTTTTCAAATTGTTGCTGCTAGTATTATTGTTATCATATTGTTGTTTTTTCTCAAACATTTTAAGATCCGCGGCGAACAAAACCTGATAATTAGAGGTCAAAAAAATTTTTTAAAAAGCATACGCAATAAAGAAAGAGTTATTTTTAGAAAAAGAATTTAGAGTTTAGTCATTCATACTAGATCTAGATAATGAATGGAAAAAATAAAGATAATGCATGCATGACAAATCAAAATGATTGACGAGACATTTTCTATTTTTGTCATGTATATATATAGTAATAGGTAGGTCAGTTACCGAATGAGCCCATCCACTATAATCTCCAAACAAATTTCTAAAATGATCGCCAACCAGTTCGTACAACCGATTTGTTAAGTTTTTTGAAGTTTTTGAAGCAAAGCCATAATCACGTTTGGCGATCTGCCATACATGTGTGTCTACAGGTATAGAATTATGCTTGTCTAAAGACATTAAACACTACCAAAAAAAAAAATTTTAAAATTAAAATTAAAAAATTGTGTTCATGCATTTACAACACACACACACATATATATATAGATGTAAAGTTTTATGTTTGTAAGGTATGTAATATACGTATGATCAACACATGGAATTTTATGTGTAACATTACTCATGAGTACAACTTACCACACAATCGGCAACTTTTGGACCAACCTAAATTGAAACAATAGAATTAATTTATGATAACAATAATATACTTACTACATATTATTAGATTTAAAACATCGAAGCTTACACCGGAAAGTTGTAGTAGAGCATTATGAGCATTTCTGTAATCAAGGTTTCGCAAAGAATACAACCACTCCTCGCCTCCAGAACATTTTTCCACCAAGTGATTGACTGTTTGTACAATATATTTAGCACGATAACCAAACCCCAACTCACGTAATTCCATTTCAATATTATCAGAAGCAAGTTTATCCAATGTTGGAAAATCATAATAGTCTTCGCCATCCAAAGTATAAACCTTGTTACCATATCGATTACATAATTTCTCTATCTAATTAATACAAATATATATTGTTATTATTTTAAGGAAGAAAAGGGTAAATTTTTATTAATATTAAAAAGGTCAATTAATTTTCTGAAAATCCATACCATTTTAGAAATTCTAGCAATGTTGTTATTTGTAGAACATATAAAACAAATTAGATTTTCGACAGGATCTTGTCTTAGGATTCTTACACCTTGGAATCGATCAGCCACCTTTGCAAAATTTTTATCAGCTTTGCACCACTTTGCATAATATTCTCTTAGATTGATGTGTAATTGAAAATAATCATTAAGAAAATATTCAATGTCATTGGTGGCAGTAGTATTTAGATTTGGTGATAATGATGACGATAATGATGATGACGATGACGTAAATGAAAGTGATGACGTAGACGGAAGTGATGCAGATGAATTGTAAGGAAAACCGGGGGAAGAATAGGAGGAAGAAGATTGGTATGATCGATATTCTACATTTGATTCTAATAAGGTGAAAATTAGAATCAGACATGAGATCATTATCATTTATAGATTTATTATTTACCTGTTTGTCTCAAAGAGATAAGCCTTCCTTTGAAAGCACATGACCTTTTAAAAAATGTATAATATATAATATACAATAGAAAGGAATTGAAAACCCATTAAATAATTATTTAATTATTTAAAATTGTGTAAGTAAATATATGTATTTTTACCATTCATTTTCACCCGACACTTTCCAACGGAAAGATTGTCCGCATTTTAATGTTGTATCCAACCTTAGTTCTTCCGGGCAAGCTTTTAAACTTCGCCAAACAGTAACCATAATTATAATATTTATTTTTTTTACTTTAGTTCTAAACACTAATAAAAAACCCAAAAAAAAAAATGAATTAAATATGGGTAAAATTTTCTATTTTTAACAATTTTTAAATAGAAACAAGCTTAACATAGAAAAGATCTGTATTACACAATAATAATAATGATGATAAGCTAAAATTTATTAATAGAATTTCCATTTTGAGAAATGCATTGATCTTTTTTATTCATTCAATAAATAATAAGATGTTTTGGAAATGATAATTTTATTTATTTATATAATTTAATTTTTAAACGTTTTAATTTATACTGTGCAAATTATAATAATTTCTTACACTCTTACACTCTCGACAAATAAATAAAGATCAACAAACATTATTAATTAACGTTGATTTTTTAGTATAAATACGCACATGAATTCTTTTTTAAAAAAATAAAAAATTTTTAAGAAAAAAAAAAAAGAAATAATAAATCTAAAAAAAAAACTATTTATTAATAATAAAATATTAAGTAAATCACACACTTGTCTTCACTATACATATTTAATACATAAAATGTCTCAAAATCAATTTGATCAAAGTAATAACAATAAGGTTGAAGGTTCATCTCGCCTTGAAATTCAAAAACGTCTTCAAGAACGTTTAAAATCTAGAACTGATACCACCAGCAGATCAACACCAAGAACCTTTCAACAATTACCCGATTATTTAAAACAAGTCTTGCCTGATAATTATACATATATCATTAAATCTTATAAAGAAATAGAACTTGAAACCTTTGCCGGTGCTCCAACTGCAGCTTTTGATTCAACCTTTTATATAAATATTTCCAGCATCGAAGCAATTGAACAATGGAAAGCCGCATTTCATGCCAAAACCGGTACCATATTTCGTATCACTAGAGCTGATAAAGTTAAAGGAATCAAAGTTATTTATCATAAAGATTTCCATTGTCGACATGCAGACATAGCTGCAATCAAATACATGCAAAAAACTTATGCACAAAAGGTTGGTCAACGTCGCAATAGAAACACAAATTGCCAATGTTTGGCTAAAATTCGTCTTGAAAAAAGCCGTTTACAACTTTCGCATCCTTGCGAAGTTCATCTAGCCTACAAACATAACCATCCCTTAGAAATTTTGGATAATATTAATAATTTAACAAATTCGATCATTGTTAATAACAACATTCATAACCATAATCATAGTAACATCAATAATAATATCTATAATAATAATAATGAAGAAAGTGGCGGCGACATAGATTTAAATTCAACAAATAATATAATGCTAACAAATATTCCTAATACTCCTTCGAACGCATCTACTTCAAGTGATGAAAGTGGAAGCAATACTCCTCAATGTAATTTGGAATTTGAATTTGAATCAAGTAAGTAAAATAAATTTTAAATTTTTATTCTTAAAAATACCGACAATAATGACATTTTCACTAATAAATTATCTTTATCTAATTATTTCCATCATCTCCACCAACAAAAAATTAATTTACTAAAGGCATTGAACCTGATCTTTCGAAAGGTGATACAGATTATTGCAATGGATTACTTAAATTCATTGATGATTATGGAAGAGAAAGAATTCCTAATAATTCAAATGCCTCGATTTTCTTTAATCAATTCACTTGGCCAGAAACCGCTACTAATAATTACAATAATTATAATTATAATTCCTTTATCGAATCAGATGATGACCTCCAAAATCTTACCATCGACAATAACGAAGGCGACGACAATATCATTATTAATCATAATATCAATAATAATACTTTTACGCCATCATTCCTCGATTTTTACGCCACCAATTCTACTTCTAACGCCAACGACACCAACGCATCGTTTTATAACAATCAATCTACAGGATCATCTAGTATTAGGCAAACAACACTTAAACGATCTGCATCTGAATATTTTCCTGACCAACACCAACTTCATGGATCGTCATCACTTAAACGAAGATCCACCACCACTGGTGCAGGACGAACTAACTACAACAACAACTAATTCATCATCAAACACAAATTTTTATCATAAATCATCAACATTAAATATCACGTTTATTATTTTATTTTTATTTTATTTTTATTATTGTTATTTACAACATTATAAATATTCATCTATATATATAATACATACATACATACATACATACATACATACATACGTAAATATAGCAATTATACATATTTTATTCACCAACATATATTATTGGATAGTGTAAATATAGATTTTTTTAAGATTTGATTTTGTATAAAATTCAAGGTTTTTTCTTTTTTTTTAGTGTAATTAGTTTTATCAATAAAAAATATTAAATTAATATTTGTTTTATAAAAAAGTCGTTTATGTTACGTATTAATTACGTATTTAATATATGATTAAGATTAAAAAAAATATATGCATGTATGATATGATTAAAATTACACAAAACAATCGGAATTACGACGACTTTTTTTTTTTAATTTTTTATTCTAAATCTGGAATTTAAAAACAATTTAATTATTTAATTTGTGATGATTATTAATAAATTCTATCACATGTACGATAAAATGAAAGAAAAAAATTAAGTATATATATGACAATCATCTACAAAAATAAAGTGGCTCCAATATTTTCTAATTGCTATATTTGTAAAATATAATTTATTTTAACTGTTACCAAACTGCGGAATTCGGATCTTTTCCATTCTTCCAATTACACAAAAAATCAAGTTTATTGTTTCTTCAATTGTCTTCCATGCATATTTGCATGCACGCTTATTATTATGTTTCAAAATTATTTATTTTTAAACTTGAATAATTTGGGAAATTAATTGTCATTTTTTTTTATAATCAAAAAGTTACAACATGTTTGCTACTGTGTAATTTATTTCTTATTCAAAATATAAGTTTTATTTACTATATATATATTAATAATATATATTACTAACTATTAAAAGAAAAATTAAAGAAAACGTGATAGTAACATAGATAAGAGTTCTCGAAGCATGTCGATCATTATTTAAAAATTACTTTTGCCACGCGTTTGTATTTTTATTGTTAACAATAGGATATTTGGGGCTTGGATTTTTTGTTTTTTACTAATGTTAGTCATTTATATCTTTTTTTAGAATTTAATTTTACAATTAATTGCATTTTTGATATTGGTTAGGTTAAGTTTTCACGCGCGATATATGTAGTGTACTGTAACAACAAGCAGGGGTTCTAATATTTAGTATATAGCTAGTTTACTATTACTACTACAGTGGACGACATTAAAAGTCATCAAGTGATACAAGGAGTGCGGCAAATTTTGAGTTTTAGAATTTATCACGTGCACAAATTTTAGCCAATAAAATTTAGTAAAATTATCATAATAAATCAATTAGAATTTCACATACAAACATATTAATATTAATATGTACAGTGGACGATTAGTTTTTAATGAACTTAAAGTATACTCACAATTTTCACGGGTAAACTTTTTTGCTGCACCCCAAAACATTTCAATGTGATTAAATTCTGGGTGGATAAAAAATAATCTGTTCATTGTAGAACTTCTTTTAGTCAATCTAAAATTAAACAAAACCTAAGTTTAGAAGCTTTTGAATGACAAGCTTCATTAGCTTTTTGTAAGTTTGAAAGAAGTGATTTCATTTTTTTTGTGTATTTTGGCATTTTGAACAGCGGCAAATTTTGAAATTATATATATATTTTTTACAAAATAGTGAAATTTTAAACCCTTGTAACTTTTGCTAGTAAGTCTAAAAAAAAATAATCCGGCTGCAACTAATTATTCTCTGACTTCTAAATAATCGTTTGTTGCAATTATTTTTTTAAAATTGATCGTCCCTAAGGAGCTGATACAATTTTTAATAAGCCAATAATAGTTGATGGCTTTTACTGTTGTCCACTGTATGACTGACTGCAAAGAGTGAACTATATAGTAAACTTTTTTTCAATAAATATAAAAAAAAATTTGTATCTCCTCCTTCAAAAAAAAAAGATACAACTATGAAATTAAGAGATATTGTAATAAATGTGATGATGAACGTGCTGGCAGAGTTTTTTTTGATTTTATTAGTAAACTCATCTAAAAATGTTGAAAATATAGTTGAACTTTGAAGCATATAGTCTCGATAACTAAATAAAATAGAGCAAAAAACTTTCCATGATTTTATTCTTTATGACTTAAGGAATAGCTGACAGAGAGTTTTTTTTTAATTTTATTAGTAAAAAAAAAGGACTTATAAGAATTTAAAGTTGTGCGATTTTTATTGCATTTTTTTATTTATTTGGAAATCTTTTCCTTTTAAAGAAACAGTTATTAAAAGAGTCGTAAGAAACAGAAAATCTCCAAATTTTAATATTAAATAAAGAAATATTTAGAATTAACAAGTTTTTAAATAAATTTTATTTATATAATTATTTATTTTATTAATTTATTTAGTAAATTGTTATAGTCAACTCCCTCTAAGTGCACCCCCCCTTGGGAATGAGTGATAGCGTGCATTTAGAGAAACAAAGCATTTCATTGGTTGCACGTGACACCAATAGAGAATAAAAATTTATTAATTAATTATAACATCATTATCACTAAAAAAAAATTTATATAATTATTGATAAGATAAGATTCTATTGTAGTTTGCCTCATTGTATTTATTGTTTTCAAACTAATATATCTATCAAGAGAATTAACTAGTTTTATTTGTTGACTAGAATTTTCTTGTTGTAATAAAAATGTGCAGACAATTTCCAAACCTTTTAAAGCTTCACTAGTAATTATCAATACTTGCTCAGCACTTTCATCTTCATCGAAATCATCAATATCTGAATATTGGTTTGTTGTTGCTCTTTATGCATTTCTTCTATTATTCTGTAAACACCAACATGTGCTCTTCCAATTAGAGTGTTCCACTGACGATGCCATGCTTCAACTGTGTTTTGCATTCTAGGGTGACCATGTTCAATGAGTTCATGTACAGACCAGAGTGTTGGTGGAAATAATGGTGGGTTACAAACTAGAGATCCATTTCTAAGCTCTTGCTGAATTCTGCCATGGACATAGTAGTCCTCAAAATATTGAACAACTTCTACTGCATTTGAAGGCAACAATGGCTTAATTTGATCAAAGGTGGCAGAATTTCAGAGGGAGGTAGGAAGGCAAGAGCTGTAATATAACGTAACTTGATGCTGAAATCTTCATTGTTACCATATTCAACAGCCAATCCTATGGCTTGAATTTTTCTCCAAAGGCTTTGACAAAGATGGAAAAAGCGGCCCTTATTATTAGAATCTGGAAATTCAGACCAAGTAGCATTGATGGCTGCTTGTTCAAAGTCAGTTAATACCATTGGTGGGGCTAAGTTATAGCCAGCTCCTTTGCCCAAGTCTACTAACTCTTGAAATAATCGCATGTAACTTGCTTCTGACCTGCTTGTCATTAGTGTGTATACAATAGGAAGAACACATGCATTATTTTCACCACCAACTAGAGCATGGATGGTATACATTTGCTGAAACAGTGTAGGCACTGTTTTAAATGTTCCATCCATTATCCAATAATTTGCTTCTTGTAGGTACCAAAGATTCTAATAAATGGCTTAACCATTTAAACAGCTTAGCCATCTAATAAATGGCTTAACCATTTAAACAGCTTAGCTGTCTAATAAATGGTTAACAGACTTAAACAGCTTAGCTGTCTAATAAATGGCTTAACCATTTAAACAGCTTAGCCATCTAATAAATGGTTAACAGTCTTAAACAGCTTAGCCATCTAATAAATGCTTTGACAGATTTAAACAGATTAGCTGGCTAATTGGCTAACATCATCAGATATATGTCATTTCTTAATATTAATGGATAATGACATGGTTATGGTAGGGAAACAAAGAAATATTATGCTAAATTGATTAGTGAAATGACTTGTCAGTATAATGTTCTGTCAGTATAATGTATACAAATTTTTACATGTAATCCTACCCCAATTAACCTATTGTTAATTTAAAGCTAATCTGCCACCTTTAATTAAATAATTAAATAGACATATTTAAGTAAATCCATCTAATAATTATACAAAAAGATAACATGCTAAAGGCAAAAATTTCCCCACTTAGCACCAAAATATGAAATTCTAACACCATTCTTCCCTAGAGATTGGGCCCATCCAAAAAAAACCTACCTGTATCACCCATCAGACAAACCCACGGGTCACCCAGGTGGTTTACGGATCTTTCTATATATGGGCTTAATATTTACACAATCAATAGATAAAAATAATTTTTATTTATTGGTCCCAAATTTTGCAATATAAATTATTTCTTTTTTTATAAACAATTCATTACTTCATGCCCTAAACATGTTCTTTTAGAGGTAACCAGATTTCTTGCATAAGAAAAAAAACACTTGCATGAAACAGAGGTGGCAAGAATTGATAAGTATTTATGTGTAATTCTACTAAAAATGGGAAAAGGGTTCTGATTTTTCTCCCACCATTAATAAACATCAACTCCTTCAGATTGAATTGGAGTTATCATTTCATTTAAGTAATTATCTATTATCAAGGATAATAATATAATTTTGAAACAAAAATTATATATAAGAAACAATTGATAAAAAAACAATTGATCTTATATGAAAAAGAACTTAATAACCTCTTAATTGTTATTAATAAAAAATAAAAGAGATGACAAATTGATAACATTGTTGCAAGATAATTACAACAATATTTATGATTAAACTATTATTTACAATTTTTATATATGATATATAATAAATTTGTTAACTGTACATCAAATTTTCACACTTGTTAATTGGGAATAAATATTTTAATAAACCAGATAAATCAATTATTGAAATCATTGAAAAACCATAGTTGTAATCAGTGTATAGAATTCATATTAATAAACAGCAGAAGTTTTTAAACTAGGGTTTTGATGAATTAAATGTATAAAGATACTTCCAATAAATTCATACATCATATGACCTTGAAATGATATAACTTTATGTTCTTGAACTCTTGGAGAAGATAACTAACTGCGTTTAGTATTAAAATTTATTACTAATAATCGACATAATAAAATTAACCAAACAATTTCTTTGTGCATCAGCCAATCATGCGACATGTTATTGTAACCATAAATGGTATATCAGATATACAACACGTATTACAAAACGTGAAACGGAAAAACACATTTTTATATAATAATAATAATAATAAAAAATAATAATAAAAAACTTCAAAATAACAAAAATAAAAAATAAAAATGTTTAGAAAAAAGAAAACTAAAAAGGTTGTTCACGATATTCCAAGAAATTTAAAAGAATTAGGTTATCAGATAAATGAGAAGGGACAATTCCTTACATTAGAAGGTAAACAAATACATATTATTATGTCATACATAATATATGTATATACTAATTATTTTTGTTTTGTAGGAGAAATTTATAACTTTGATGTAAAAGAAAGATCATATAATGAAGCTTTATATGATGTTATAATTGGTATTTTACTGTTATTTACAGATTTGTTTATAAGAAACTTAAAACTAATTCTATAGATGTATTACACATATATTTATTTAGAACTTTTGATGGAATGGGTCGAAGAAAGATTACAGAATGATTTTGGATTACAAAAAATCTTGCTGCCTATTAATGCAACAAAAGATGATATTCATAGCAAAATATATGTTAGGTACCAAAGAAAAAATAATCAACCTTGGTTTTTAATGTGGGTGAATTAAATAAGTTCTAATAGTTATATTAATATAATTTTAATTTTGATAGTCCAGATTATCTTGAAAATGATAAAATGATGATTTTTATTCCTGGAACAGCTAATATGTAATGTTATACTTTCTAATGATATATATATACTTGACACATATATGTATGCACATGTTAATAATGCTTATTTATTAATCAATTTATCATTGATTGATTGGTTAGGATTGGATGTTGGTCAAGAAGAGTTATGATTGATGTATCAGTTAATGTTTGTAGATTCAAACAATTAATAATTGAATAATTGAATAGTTTTTGATAGATATGTATGTAATGTTAAAAAGAAAAAAATTTTTTTTTTTTGGAATTAAAAAGGATGGATCAATGATCTCATATGTTAAGCGAGCAAGAGAAATGGGATTTTCAGTAATAATTGTTAATCCTAATGAAGTATTTTGGTATAAAGGAAAAGCAGTAGTATGTACTTTTCATATTATATTAGAAAATGATTAATTGTAAATCATAAAATTAATTGTTTAATTAATTAACTGTAAATTAATTAATTGTTGTTTTAGCACACTTTACCAAAGACAAATGTGCCATTTAAAATAATCATGGGTATATAGTTATTTACAAGACTATAATAATAAAATCATCACTTTTTATTCTTATATACTGACATTTACATTTACATTTACATATATTTAATGATTAGGAAGTGAGACACCAGAATCTCATACCAACTATGTTTTTGAAAATTTTGTCATGTAAGAAAATTTATGATTTTTTATCTTTCCGAAAATATTGTTTTAATGTATTTACTTACATAAATCTATATACACATGCATACATATAGACCATCATCCGCAAATAAAATTTTTATTGTTGCTAATAGTTATGGAGGACATTGTGCTGTTGATGTCATGCAAAACTTTTGTGAGTAATTACATAACAATAACAATTAATGTTATTATCCTATTATTAATAAGGAGTGTTTTATATTTTAAATAAACAAATCAGTTGAATTGTTGAAAAATAGAGTAAAAGGAATAGAATTTACAGAAACGACACATTCAATTGATTTTGTCAAAACTATACTTGTTAGATATTGGATCATCAAAGTATGTATTACTTCTTGGGGAATTTATTATTATTATATTAATGATTAATAATATTAATCAATATTATGTTACTCTTTGATATATTTATATTATAAAGAATTGTAGGAATTGGCTTATGTCTAGTGAACCAGCAGGAAGTGAAATATGTGATAGCAGATTTGGATGTATTTCTTTTTCATCTGGTAAAAATATACAACTTGTAACAATAAAATAATAATAATGTTATTATTATTAATCCAAATACATATTAATATTGTTAGGAGCTGAAAATAATGAATTTGTGACATATGAGGTTATTGATAGGGTTTTTGAACATGTTGCTAAGAAATTGGAACAGTTAGAAAATGGAGCCACAGAATCTAATGATGAAAATGAAGGAGATATAGAGGATGAGTATTTGAGTGAGCCAAGTTTTTTCCAAAATACAATAATTGATGATGTACAAGATAAAGTAGCTTATAATTTTGATGATGATAATGATGAGGGATCTGGTTGGCGAGATTAAAACAAATAAACCAACTATTATCTTTTTATTTTTAATACACATTATACACTGTATAAACAAATATAACAAATAACAAAAATTTATAAATCATGTGCTTTATGTAAATCATTTAAAAAAAAAATCTTGCAATAATGTTTTGTACAATAAAAAATTTGAATAGATTGAATATATTTCGAATTTATAATAATCATAATAGAATTAACATTTTTTATTATCACAATACTATTAAAAAAAATTATATGGAAAAAGGACCAATACATTCTAGCATTCATACCAAGGTGAATGATAATAACAATAATAATAATAATTAATATTAATGTTATATACAGTTGTGTATTAATATAATAAATCAAATAGTTAGCAGAAGCTTTAAAACCAATTGATTTAGAAATTATCAATGAATCAGATTTACATGCTCATCATCAAGCTATGAAAGATGTTAGTAGTAATGAAACACATTTTCGGTAAGTTAGATAAATATATATATATTAATTGTAATATTGTAATAAAAATTGAATGGGACTTTTATATATATACACATAGTGTAAATGTTATTTCTGAACAATTTGAAGGAATGGTAATTATTATTCAATCAATTTATCAATTAATCAATTTATTTGGTTTTATTTTTTTATATCTCACATTTTATTATAATTGATAAATAAGAAACTTATGGAAAGACATAGATGGATATATCAATTACTTGGCGAAGAATTGAAAAGGGGAGTTCATGCTTTATCAATTAAAGCTAAAACACCAAAAGAAATAAATAAAGAGAATTGATAAAGAGAAATTGATGGATAGAAAAGTATTGGAATAGTTTGCTGTGGTTACAGTCACATAATCTATTTAATAAAAATCTGAATTTTATATTGATATTATATTATACAATATTAATACTAATACTGAAAAATATGGAATATTTTCTGTGAATTCTATATAGTGTAAAACATACGTTTTTTTTACTGTTACTTTTTATTTTTTATTTTTTTCCTCATAAAAAAACTAGTATTTATCCTCTTCCCGAATTGAGACTAGTTATAACTAACCACTCATCATGTTTTGAAAAATGCATTTTTATATTTAAAGTTTTATTATATTTTTTAAATTCAAAAAATTATTTCTCTGTATATTTTCCATTAACATGCACATCTAATGATATCCAATTTCCTAATGTGGGATCAACATGTTTTTAAAGATATCTTTACCAATTCATCTGGTTCTTTCCTTACTTCTTTTCCTTTCTCATAATTTTTATTTTCCATAAAGGCTTTAAATTCTTTTTCTTATATTTGTTTGAAAATGGATCAGCTTCTTCCTTGTATGTTTTTACATTTCCACATACGTACCAGGTCTTCATTCTCTTGACAACCTTCAATTGGACATTTATTACTTGTAAAGATTCCAGGGTAACTAATACTAAGGGTTTCCATTGTAATTAGATTATTGATGTATAACTCAAATTTGGTATTTGTTGAATCATCATTGTTTATGGGACTGGTACTTTCCATATTATTGTTATTAAGGTAATGCCAGATGATTTCCCAGTCCATTTCATTGACATAATTGTTATTTAGTTTGGACCTTCTGTAAGTAGCTCTATTATATGTGCAGCGAAGAGCATTTTTTTAACTTTTTTTTTATATTTCAGGAAATTTTTAACACCTTATTGAATTGCTTTGTTTTTTGTATGTTCAATTATTATTATTATTTGATATATCCTGTATGTATTGGATTGAATGATTTATTAAAGTTCAGCAGGCCTGCTTCATCACTTTCTACCTGTTTTTGGATTGTAAGTCAAATCCGATTCATGTGTAGATCATGTATAATCTAGTGACCATAATTTGACTTGTTGCACAAATGTAAACTTTCAATTTTATTCATTACAAGTAACAAAAAACCAATGAAACAATGAACTGAAGAACCAATATAAAAGAACTGGTGAAAATGATTTTAAGCCTTTTGATTACAAAGTTTTTGTTAAAAATAATCGATCATGTATACAATCAAAAAATTTTTTAAGATGAAAAAAAAACAAATGAATTACATAATTTGAATCTTAAATTTGGTGTGTTGTGTAGTAGCACCTTACCAAGCACCGGTACCAGTATACCAAGCTCCTACGACACCTGTTTAACGCAAATGAAAAATTCTGAGGTTGAAAAAAATACATTTGGAAAGATTCATGTAAATTATATAGGATGTTGCATCTCAATTAGCAAAATTGGTTTTAACTATGAATCACTCATTACCTTATTCAATAAATATGCAACATTCGGATGTGATGATGATGGTGGAACTGATATACGTTCTTTTAAAATGAAAACTCAAAGAAAACAAATTGTTCGTGGAAGCTTAACATTCGTTTTAGACCTAAAAAAATTGTATGGCAATAAGTGATACAAAAGAAAAGTATGACTATAGATTGAATCCAAAGATCTAGAATCGAGAGCTAAGCTCAGAGTTGCCAGACAATGTGCACTGGTAGAAATCTAGTTTTGACAATGTTTTGCCAGTGATCTAGCTGGTAAAATTTGGGGTAAATTGGTCTCTTTAACTAATGTTTCTAAAATTAGTTAAATATTGGTGGAACAAACCAACGTTTATTTTTGTCAAGATCGAAATTTTTGACCAGTGATGATGCTAAATGAAATGAAATTTTTAAATACATATGATAATTTTGTCAAGGATAAATGTAAAAAAGATAGAATAAAATATCAAAGTGTAACAAATTTGAATATTACATAAATATTCTGTTACTTTTCTAGTGATCTATTGAAACGTTTAAAAGTTAACACAAATGAGAATTCATTAAAAACTTTGTAAAAACATTAGTTTATCAAAAATATAAGTGAGAGCATGAAAAAGCAATGATTGCACTTCAATTCTAATATCAATTTGTGTAACTTAATAATGTTTGAGAAAAGGAGTTTAAAGATCTGAATTAAAGTGGCAAATTATTAATTTAGATTCCTGAAGATCATTAGCAACAATTTGCCCATCATATTGGTGAAGTATTATTAATAATAAATGAAAATATACAATGATAATTGAATGGACAAATATTAATAATGATAATATTAATATTGTAATAATTCACGTCGTCTTCAGCATTTTTCTTCACGCAATAATATTATCCACAATCATGTTCTTGTTTAATGATTTTAATTTTAATATTCAAGAAAAAAAAATCACAGAGAATAATAATGGCAGCCAAAGTGAAACAACAACAACAATGCACAAAAAATTAGATCAGCTCTTGAAGTTATTAAAGAGGTCAGCTATTATTATTATTTCCTACTATAATATATACACGCATTTATACTAACCAAGTTTTTAAATTATTTGCGATAAGCTTTATGTATTAATTATTTAATAATATCTAGCAAACATATGATATTATGTATATTATTATATATTATACAATGCATTGATTGATTATTCTAATACTTTTTCTTCTCTCTTCAATAATAACAATTTATTATTATTATTATTATCAATAATTATAAATATTATTTAATGATGACCATATTCTTTCGTTCTCGTCATCTAACTGTTACTATCATACATGACAAACTGATTATAATATTTCTAATGTACAATTTGATTATGTGGTGTTATTTGGAAAAATAAAGATTATGTAGTCGTTGCAAATCTTATCGGTCGGTAAATTTTATGATATCAATTTTATTTCTTTATTTTTATATAAAATAAAGATGGTTGATTGATTGTCGGAATTTTTTTTTTTTTTTAAGAAAATTTCATATGATAATAATAGTAACAATAATAATAATAATAATATTTTTTTTTTATAAAAAAGATTTTATTTATTTATTATATAATGTAAATATATATATAATATTGATATATTATATTAATATAAGTTAAAAAATAAAATACATAAATAGTAGATAAATGAAAATAAATAAATCTTAAGAATAAAACTTAAAACGAAATTATTTATATAGGAAACTCTATATTCTATGTTATGAATGTGTGTATATATTTACAGAAGCAGGTATATAATTGATGCTTGTTTATGTGTGTGTGTGTATGAATGGAATGAAATCGAATTGAAATTGAAGGAATTAAAAATTAAATAATAATAATAGAAAACTCGATTCTAAAAAAAAAATTCCGCAAAGTAAAAAAAAAAAAGAAAAATCAAAAAATTCGATTGATTCCAAATTTGTTTGTTTGTGTTTATGAATTCTTGACGAAAAATTTAGTCTAATATTTACATGAAATAATAACAATTGATATTATTGATATAAATAATATACATCATTGATGATAAAAGAAGACGAATTAAAGCCATTGTTATTTTCGTTTGTCGAAGGAGTAAAAATATCCGAAATCACTGGTGAATCAATAATATTATTGTCATTTGAGAAACTATGATTAGAAGTTGATATTGGTGTAGTCATTATTGGTGTTGTAGATGTACTGGCATTTCTGTTACTATTCGGATGAAGATTATAATTAGTATAATTACAAGGAGAAGGTGAATTAGAGGGCGATGATGGAAGAATAGGACTATTGATGTTGCTATTGATATTGCTATGAATAATATTATTATTATTACTAGGAATTACAATATTATTATCGTCAATAATATTGATGTTAAAAATGTTATTATTTGAATATTTTTGCATTTCTTCGATTCGTAATGTCAAAAGATCGGCGGGATTATTACTGAGTTCGAGTATGTTTTTTAAAGAAGGAATAATTTTTGACAAATCTCCGTTTTCTTCCAATATTCGAGATAATAAACTAGACAAAAGTTCTAAAACCGGACGACAACCAATTTCATTGACAATATCTAAGAGATCTGTTAATAATACACTTTCATGTTGAAAACGGAGAAGACATTTAAATAGTGATTGTGAAATATCTCTTTCCAATCGTGAAATATCTCTTTCCAATTGTAAAATATCAATTTTTGCATCCTTATCGCCAGTTTGTTTTTGAAGTTTTTCAAGATTTTCTTGGGTTTTGCCCAAAGTTTCCGTCACCCCATCAAGTTGTCTAGTCAAATTTTCAACTTGTCTATTTTTCCTTGGAGATTGATCGAAAACACAAGTTCCTTTTCCACAATTTGTACAATCTTTGCCTGCCAATGCATCGCCATCGCATTTTACTTTTAATTTTCTACAATTCATACACGCTCTCTTATTTATTTTGCCACGAGGTTGACGACGAGTGTTAGCGGTGGTCGTGTTAACTGTATTAGAAGTAATGGAAGACGAGGGGCTACTAGCATGAAAAGCTAAAGGTGTTTCGCTGATACTTTCTTTGTCGCAAGAACCAAAGTTGTTGTTATAATTATCATTGTTATTACAATACGTATTAAAATGATGAAGGTCGAATAAGCCGTTGTTAATATCAGAAATGTTATTCATTTTTAAAGAATTTAAATATGTATGTTATAAAAAAAAAATACAATATAAATATCGCAGAAGTTTTTTTTTTAAAGAAATAAAAATAAATACAAACAAAAAAATAATTATAAAATGATATTGATTAAAAGAAAATTAATATTTTGTTTGCAAAGAAAATGATGAGAGGGGCGAAAAGGATGTATTTATAGTTTTTTTTTTTCCTGCGTAGGTACAAAAAATCAATAATTTTTTTGCTGCGATGAATATTGATTATTTGATTATTTGGATTTGGAGGATTGAAAATTAATGGCTAAAACTTACTCTTTTTATAGGTTCAAGCCACATAGTCGACTGTTTTGTTTAGTGGTGCTACGGAAGGTTTCTCAATTTTTGTGGCTAAATATAAATTTAATTGGTTCTAGACGGAGTTGGAATGAAATAATCTACATTAATTTCTCCATCTTGGGATGAACAATAAAAAAAGAATTTCTTTAAAAAAATTTGTCTTTTTTTTTTTAAATTTTATTTTTAAATTTTTTAATACTAAATTAAAACAAACATCATTTATTATTATACCACAATTAATTGTTTCCTTCTCTAAAGAAAATTTCTTTGGATTAATTATTTATTTATTATTTGCACATATATATATGTTACCTGGTAAAAAAATTTATTCTTATTAAAGCAATAAAAATATGCGCATTAATCAATTTTGTAACAGAATCAAGTGAATTTTGGTTAAGAAATTTTAATAAAGAGCAAAATGAATGAACGAATTTGTAAACGAAAAAAATTATTAATCCATCCCTTCATTCATTCATTGTTATTATAAATAGAAACTTTAGAAAAAACCTTATATAAAATTATAGAAATCTTATGATTTTAGTTCACATGTACAAAGGTTGATAATGATAGAAGAAACAACATGATAATGATAAAATCCTTTTCTTTTTTCTCGAAAAATTTATTATTGATAATTCCAAATCTGTTTGTACTACAATCATTAAATTAATACTGCCAAATTTAGAATTCCCAATTAAAAAATTTATTTTTACTTATTTCCACTAAAACCTTCCATTCTATCTAGAAGATTTCCAAAGAAATTCATTTGTTTATTGTTATTATCTTCACGACCAAATTTATTTTTTTATTTAGTTTTTCAAGTAATGATTGTCATTTGCAATCTATTAATAAAATTTTTTTTTAATAAAAATATATATATAAATTTGTACGCAATATATATATATAATAAAGTTTTTGATCGTTACGCTTGCTATCTTTTAGTACTACGGCAATGATAATTGAATAATTATGATGATTTATAATGACTGCTCTCATATTTGATTTCCTCCTAAATGAAGAAACTTTCTTTCTTCAAATGATCAATTGTAAGCTTCGTCCGTTAATAGAATTGTTTCAAATAATCGAAATATCTTCCACTGTATAACTAATTACCAAGATAATTTTAACACCTACAACACAATGAAATAAATATTCAACGTTCCCATGAAGTATAGCAAAGATGTTCGTTCCTTTGGATGAATCTTCGTTGAGGAAACTGCCAGCGATTGATTTGTTTTATACTGCTTCCTTGCATGCCATGCGTATCAATTTTGAGTATGTTTTATTGTTGGTATTTTTTGGTATATATATAAAAAAAAAATGGTATATGACATTAACGAAATTGGCAAAGGCAATCCGTTAGTACACTAAGAAACTTTTTTCCACAAATAATGAAGTTCGAAAACCTTTGCATACTATAAGACCATCATCGGTATTATCATTATTCAAGGATACCTTTTAAAAGAGCTGCTTTCTATGATAAGTGACCACATCTTTGATATGAAAAGGCTACTGTTTATGAGGGAAACGTGAAGATTTTACGTCTGGAATTTCTGATTATTGATTAATAATGAATGAGCGTTATATAATAGCTGAAAGTCGTGTACATAATAACGACATATGTAACAAGGATCTTTTGAACTTTCCAACTGGTCTTATCCAACTGTTTTTTTTTTTTTTTGAGAAAGAGATTGATCAGATGACAACATGTGCTTTTACCAAATCTTTTTTTGGTAGTGATCACATCAACCATACAATTGAAATCAGGTCTTTTATGTATGTAGATGTTTATTGTACAATTGGTATTGCGTTTGTAAAAGTGTTTATAAGGTAATTTGAATAATACTGTATTTCATATGCATATTTTTAGAGAAAGCGCCTTACGACCATCAACCCAGGAACTGGAAAGGGCCCCAACGAATTCCTTAAGGAAAACAACCAACAAAGTAAAGTTTTAAATCTTTAATCTTTTAAATTATATTTATAACGACCTTCCTCTTATTAAGAATACACATTTGATACAAATTGGTCAAGTATGTATGTATGATGAATCGTTTAATTTGTCACATGAGAAATTATTAATTTATATTTATGAATCTGCTAGTAGTAGCTTTGTAAATATGTGCAATACGATGGACCTGAATTATTTTGCCAATGCCGCATTAATTCTTACTCAAATCACAGGACTTATGTTTGTTTTATGTTTTTGAAATACGTGTTTACAAATCGTTGATTCAACAGATAGTTCTAATCTGGTACTGACATTCATTTGCTGTTTGCTATCAAAACCCTCATCATTGCTTTCAACATCCATGAATTCCTCACTGATCGTTACCGCTTCTTAAAAAAATTAATTTTTGGATCGTTAATATTAATGTAAAGAAAGTGATATCGTTCATTAGCGATTTTACAAAAGTAATTTCATGACTGTATCTTTAACACAAATGATCCTATTTTTCGTTGGTGGTACTTTGATTCAATTTTCCCAATCGGGAGGTATTTGTTAACTTCTCTGTCTTTGTTGCCTTTGTTAAATTTGTGGCCGACGTTATTACAGTGATGGCAGAAACAGAACTAGGGGTGTTACTTTGATTTTTTAATTAGTTTACTTTACTATCTTCATACTATCGTTATCTGAAGATGGTGATTTTAGCGTATCAGGTGTTTGTAGAAACTTGTAAATTTTACCCTTTAAAATTTAATATTCTTTAAGGCTGCCTGATGCCTTTTTATGTGCTACTGATACCATGCGTTCTTCATAATATTGCATGAATAAAATGGAAGAATAGGTGATAATGATAATTGATCATAGACCTGTAAAGCGTGATTAATAACAACCAGATATGAAAAATATTTGGTGTTAACCCACTAAATGTACGTTAAGCTATTTCGTGATCTTTATATTTTTCTATTCAAATGAGACGCCTAGAAAAAACAACATATATTGATTATATTTTCAGAGGTTTGAGTTTTAGATATTTGTTCCAGTAAACGTTGCTTTTCTAAGGGTATAAAATAAAAGACCAGATGATACGAAACTATTGAAGAAAACTGCCAATAGCCAGACGGATTATAGTGTTAAATTTTAACCTTGATCTCTCTCTGATTAAAGGTCGTGGATGGAAAATGAGGTAGAGATAATTGATTAGTAATTTGTCCAATATATATATATATATATAAAATAATAAATTTAATAGATAAATGTATATAGTAAATTTCGTGGCTTTTCCCCCCACAAACTCTCAAAGTCAATTCTGCTATTTATAATCCATCTGTCTTATTTTTAATAATAAATTTTGTTATTCAAAGGTCGTGTGACTCCACATACGATTCCTAATGTTCTCCAATATGTGAAATAATTGCCTTCACAATCTTCGAAAAATATACACAGGCCAAACAGCAGAACATTGTAGTACACCAATCACTGTCAAAGCAAAGTCCTAAGAACCACCTTGATTCTTCGTTTGTCAATACCTCTGGATCTAAGGACGCTCCCGGCTAATAGGTAATAGACTTAAATTTTCGTTTGTATTTGCTAATTGACATCTGATAAACTTACTTTAAAGCCAGAAAGTATTTAATCATCTAATTTAACTTGTATAATAAAATTTGATCTATCATTTATATTGATTCATCACTTCTTTTAATTCCATTTCAGATTTTTAAAATCCGTGTAACAAACAAAATATTAATATATAATTATTATTATGTATTATTTATTTCCAACAATATTATTATGTTAATGGATTAGTTGCTTGAGAGTAAGTTTCATTGTTATTGTCTTATATTTTCTTCAAAAAATTTTTTTCTATGTAAAAGATGACAAAATCTTTGAAAAAGATGATGCATAGACAAAAGATCTATTTAAAAAAATCCTAGAAACAACAATCTGATTTTGATGAATTAATCAATCTTGGGTGTATAAATATTGTAAATTGAATGCGAATTAAAAGTATTCTAACCTTTTTTTCTTTATTTAATTTTAATTCTAGAAATAACAAAGAAAAACAATGTAGGTTTTAATTTTTCTTTCACTTGCAATGATCCGAGACACTCAGTTATTATTATTGTTGTTGTTGTTTTTGTTGTTATTATTAATGAGAAATTATTGTTATATATAATTATAATTGTTGTCTGTTTAATAGAGTGATCTTGACATTTTATAAAGATGGCAACAACAACAACAGATATTGATGACAAAACTAATCAACACAATTTTGCAGAACATAATAGAGATCATTTCAATGAAAATGCAGAATCTTATGATAAACATCCATACATAGATTTGATAGTGACTAAATGTGCAAATGCTATTTTGGAAAGGGTTGGAGATAAATTCGACGAAGAAAAAACTGAGGTGATGGAGTTTGCTTGTGGAACAGGTAATAATAATATTTCTCGTTCTAAGGAAATAAAATCAATATATGTTCCCTCTTATAATAAAAGTATTTTTAACTTTAGGTTTATTATCACAAAAATTATGCTCTCATGTAAAGTCAATTCTTGGCGTAGATATATCGCAAAGTATGGTGGATGTATATAATAGGAAAGCATGGCAACAAGGTATTCCCAAAGAGGAGATGGAAGCTATTTGTTTGGAGTTAAGCGAAGGCGATCAATTAAATGGGAAAAAATTTGATTTTATTATTGTAAGAGGATTTTTAATCTACCTACATGCATATATTACATATAATTCATTTTCTATAATATAATTTGTGTATGTAGTGTGCATCATCGTATCACCACATTGATGATGTATCAACAATCACTAAGCTTTTATCCACTTACCTGAAACCTGGTGATGGACAACTGATTGTTCTCGATTTGAAAAAAGATCTTCATTCAAAGAAACTTCATGAGAGAAAACACGGACAAGGAAACCATGTTCATAACGATGTGAATCATAAAGGACATGAAGACAATGTTAATAACGTTGTGGCTCATAAAGGTGGGTTTGATCCGGATGAGTTGAAGCAAGTTTTCGTTGAAACTGGTCTATTGAAAGATGTTGAGGTTGAGGTGGCTTTTCGATTTGAAGATAAAGATTGTACTTTAGAATATTTAATTGCTAGGGGAAAAAGGGGTTTTCCTTTGGACTAAATTCGACTAATCAATTGATTGTGATTTTTTCAAAAATAAATAAATATTAAACTTTAAATTAAAAAAAACCTTATATAATCAATATTGTCAATCGTGATATCATTAAACTGTAAAATATCTAAAAAAATACAATTTATAAAATATGGTAATTTTAAATTTTATTAGTATTACATAAACAAATATCGGAATGTGTCAATTATGATTGGTGTGTGAGAGTTAACTTGATGATTCGGAAACTGGAAGATTTAAAGAATTTACTATTACTACTTGACAATCAACCCACCCGAGCTAGTGATTGTAATCGCATATACAATTAATATTAAACTTTGCAATTCTCCCAAGTGCTGATTTTCGGGGACGCAGCAAATATATTATTCAATTAATGATGATTTTAATGTTAGCACAAAACTAAACAAAAGATTTACCCCAGATTTACTTTTTGAGATTTTTTCCGTACATATAATTAATGCATACATGTAACTAACTACCTACATAACATTTTTTTTTCTATGAATTCATATGTCGTAATTAAATCAAAAAGAAAAAAAGATTTTCTAAAACTAGTAATTTTATATTTTCTTAATTCTTAATTGGTGGTTTTTTTCCGGAAATATTTTAACACCGTTCATTCAAATTAAACTTATTTCGGATTAGAATGGTTTTTCAATTGTGGATATAAAAAGTAAATTTATTTTTTTAATTTTTTTTATTAATTACTTCATTTCTTCTCATTATTTGTTTTTTTTTTTTAAAATAAAAAAAGAATTTCTTTAAAAAAAAATTAAAACATTTAATAAATATGGGAGGCTTTCTATCAAAAAGTTTATATGGTTTTGGACCTTGTAAATATAATAATGTTAGTACTGGTGATTATGGTGAATCTTTTATAAATAAATCATTAGAATCAGATGATACATTTCATTTGAATCATCATATACAAAGAGAATTATGGAAATCTAATTTTTCTTCTCCAGTTGAAGATTTACTAAAAAATGGCAGCGCCAAAGTTTTAGATGTTGGGTAAATTATTCAAAATTAATCAATTTCCTTCTCGCCTTCCTCTTTTTCTAATAATATTATATTTTTAATAGTTGTGGGCTAGGAACTTTTTTATGTGAAATATCATCAGATTATCCAAAATCAGAATTTATTGGAATTGATGTACTGTCGTTGTTTCCAACAATTAAACCATTCAATGTTAACTTTATAAAAAAAAATATTATAGATGGTTTACCATTTGAAGACAACTCATTTGACTTTGTACACATCAGATCTTTATTTTATGATTTCACAGAGTCTCAATGGATGAATATTATTTACAAAGGTAAAAATTAACGTGGATTGAGAAATGCGTGGATGGATCGATCTGCTGTTTAATAATGTTTGGTTGATCAAGTGTTTAATATCTAACTAGCGATCAATATATTGACCTATTTTCTCCTTTTTTTCTCATTATTATAGAAACATTGAGAGTACTTAAACCTGGTGGCTGGCTAGAAATTGCTGACCCAGAAACGAGAGCTTATAATACTGGTCCATTGACTGATTTTTTGCTCAAATCAAGTAAATAATAGGATTTTTTTTGCATAATAATGATGATGTTTTTTTTTGCTAATTATATTTATTATTTTATTTGTTGTAAATAGTATCTAAAGATATAAGTTTAAGAAATATAAGTTCTTGTATTGTTGACAACCATGAATCAAATCTTCGTACAATTATTTCTAACAACAAAAATATTAATGAACAAAAGGAAAAAATAGTCATACATCACGATAAAAAACTTTACCAGATTGGTAAATGGTCAGGGAAGATTGGAGAAGCAACATCGATATTTGTGATTGGGTATTTTAGAAATTATTTAATAAATAAAGGAAAAAAAAAGGGAATCTTAAAATCATACAATAAAAATTTCTTCAACAACAACAACAACAATAATAAGGATAATGACAATAATCATGAAAAATTAAAAAAATTAAAAGATTATGAACAATTACTAAAACTTATATCTAACGAATTTGAAATTTATAAAACTTATAGTTTTTCACATAGATTTTATTATCAGAAAATATGACAATTATATAATATAGTAAACACAACATGTAAAATAATACACAATTAGATAAGTTAAACTATCATTCATTTTCATCATGATAAAAAGCTGAGGTTTCAAAAAAATTAGATGCTGATGATATTAGATTATTAATAATAAAAAAGTAAAAGTTAGGTGTAATCTACTAATTATTCACGTGAAAAAATTGATTATGCAAATTTAATTATACTCATTAAAAATTATGATAAAATCAAAACAAAAATGGATTCCTGAAATAAAAAAACTTGTTCAAACTGTGGAGTAGCCGAGTTTTTTGTTAAAATTTCTTTCTTGTTGTTTTGTATTCCAAATATTGATTGCATCATGTCCGTTACAATGTTCGTGCGTATTTCCTTGCATCTTCAGAGAGTAATGATTCTGGGAAAAGAAATAATAGATTTAGTATGAATAAATAAATACATAGATTCGTGTAACAGCTCCTCTACGACTTGCAAAGAAACTCCGGACACCTGAATCAATTCTGGACTTTTGGTTTATTAGTTTTGTAATTTTGGACTTTTACATAAACCCTAAGATCCAAACTTCCTCAGGAATTGCTGCTTTTTAAAATTTGTAGCGCATTGGAGAATGTCCAACACTGTACAAGACTCCCTCTCCTGATTTCCTTTTGTTGTGATAATCGTTTGAATGTCCTCGATTGGGAAGCTTTGTTTGGTTCAAAAGCCATTGATTATATTAATACTATTTGTTGATTCAAAAAAAATATTAGAGTATGTTAATATTAGGCTCGTAAAAATACAAGAATTCCTCTAATCTTCTTGATAGAAAGAATATCACGGTAAAGACAGATGCTCTAGACAAGTCTGCCGACCTTTGGTCATCTGCCACAGACAGGTGAAACACAAAAATCAATATCATGTAAAAATATTTATTTCCCATTTTTGTTAAAGGTCCTTAAATACGGATATACAAAAAGAGCACCACACTGAAAATTTTTTTTTTCAAAAAATTTAATTCTAATTCAGTCGTTTATAACTTCCTTGTACAACCCATACGCGCGTAAATAAAATTTTTTCTTGTGTATGTCGATCAAATAACTTTTTTATTTTTATTTTTTCTTAGAAAAATGGATTTCAAACGAAAAAAAGAGAAAAACAGATAAATACCATGGAGAAGCGTTGACCGAGTAAGTGTTTTAAGGATGGTGGTGGTGGTTATCGCCTGCCACTCGTCGTCACTCTAGTTAATTATTAAAGAACAGTAGTAGTGGTTGTGATTGTTCCTCATTCTAGCTTATATAATAAATAAAATTTTGTTTTTATTAAAAATAGGGAGGGTTTCTTAAAAGAATCAACAAAAATTAATCAAGAATCATTTCCAAATAGTGACAAAAATGAGGATGAGTGTGACAGACTTTTGCTGTTATTAAAATTAAAACCATCACAAAATAGAAAATGGTTATTTAATGGAGAAAACATCTCAAAAAATCTTCAAAGCAAAAAAAATAAGGGAATAAAAAGACAAACTTGCTCACTTGACTATGGAATTCTAAATATTCAAGATCCCCTTGCAAATAGATATCTGTCAAATAATTTTATTGAGCATTACAAAAAGTTTAGTGTAGATGATAGCAAAGATTATATAACAATAGATGATATTGGAACAAAAATCAAAAAACTCTGTCTTATATCAGATAATTTGGTCCCTGAAAAAAAGAAAGAATTTGAAATATTTCTAGAATATTTAAAAAATTATGAAAATATTGTATGCAATTCTATTCCTTATGATTTTTCTCAATCTTCTTTATTTAAACTGATACAATTTGATAATTTATAGATGACATTACTTCTTCTTGAAGAAGCATTAGAAAATAATTATATAATTAAGTTTAATCAAGAAAAATATTTGAAAAAATGGGCTTTTGAGACCTTTAATTGCTTGTAAGTATTATGATTAATGATTTATATTCAGTTACTCAAATGCTTATAACTTCACATTTGATTGTTTGTAGTCATCTACTTTATTCATCTGGCAGACTACACTATAACATGTCAGAACAAGAATTAAATATGTTTGTATATTCACAAATATTTGACAAATTATTTCTTTTTGAAAGAGACTTAGAATTCAGAAAGTGAGACAATTTTTTGAATATTGATGTATTTATTTTACCTATATTTCATTGATATAATTACTGATACATGTTTCATTGTTTAGTGGGGAGATAGAATCAAATGCTGTTGTCAATGTAAAAAATTATACCAAGTTGACTGGTGAAAAATGTAAACATGGTAATAAAGTAGATGGCATGATAACTAGTAAAAGTATACCTATCCAATGGTTTTGGAAGGAGCTTAAACATAAGGAATCATCTAAATCTGATGAAGACAAAATAAAATTAGAAAATGGGGTCAAGTATTTGTTGGTGAATTTATTCTTGGAAATACCAACTGATTCACAAGATAAATTCCATGATCTTGAAGTGTATGTTGTGCAGGCTATTGGTATGTATACTGTTTATTAAATTTATACTTAATATTTCAACTATACATGCAGCCCAAATTGGTTTGGTGATTTTGATGGTCAAAATTATTCCAATTTTGATGGTAGAAAGTAGAAATTAATTACAGCATTCACTATTAAAAACATAAGTGTAACACCCCTTTACTACATGTGTAACCCCCTTTATGACAGTATCAAAATACTTTGGGCTGCATGTATAATTTCAACTAAATTCTCTCAAAATTACAATCAGGAATAAAATTCAATTTAGTGTTCCATGTTGCAATCCAAAAAAGGAAACCAAAGTGGTTGCAACCAGGTGTTGCAAACCATTTTTATATGTTGCAAATATGGTTGCAACCATCACCAAGAATTGCGACCAGCATCTATAATTCAATTGCTATGGAGCAAGATGGTTATATGAAGGTTTAATTGTAATGTATCCAATTTTCTCTGGAAGAATTCCTTCTGGCCCAGAAGGCATCCCACTAGTTGTTGATTCTTTGAAAAAGCTTGCAGCTTTAAAGGTATGTAGACTAATATACATTTATCTATCTTTTTGATAAATATAACATAAACTTGTATTTCTTATTTATCTATCTATTTGTTTGACTTTTAATGTTAAATAGAATAGAATTGATGAAAATATTAAAAAGTTTTATCAAATAATCTCAGAAACTAATCAAAGAAAATTTCCCAGTCCTCCAAAGATAATTAAATATATTTAAAAAATTGAAATTTGCATTTTATGTTATGGGGAAATTATCATTATTGATTTTAATCTCTCAAAAATTTTTTATCTACATACAAAATATAAATATAATCATAACTTAAAATAATTATTTTAATAAATACTAACTTGCAATTCTTGCTACAGCAGATTATTGGTTTCTTTTGTATTTTTTTAAATACATTTTTTTTAAGACTCTAAATTTACTTCATTTTCATCATCACTTCATTCTCATCATTTCCATTATCCACTTCATTCCAATCATTCATTCAAATCACTATTGTCATTCCATTAATCCAAAACATTCACATTATATCATCCATAAAAATCTTCATGTCTAAATCATCAAAATCATAAACATAATATTTATTATTATTTATTTTATCTAAATTGTTCAAATTATATCTTTCTCCTAAATAATACACATCATTCAATTGGTTTAAATCATTATTATTTCCTTTACCAAAATCATTCACATCACTTTTTTTTATCACTTTCAATGTATTCAATCCTTTTGTTCTTATCATCACTAGAAGTTATGGCAATTGATGAATCAGCATCAGAAATTATTTTGTAGCCTTCAACGTCAAATTTATTTTTATTGTAATAAAAAAAAAAAAAATCAGTGTTCAATCATGAAAGAGAACTTTTTAAACCATGGTTGGTGGTAAAGATGGGAGCCACAATCATTTTGTCAGTCCGCAATTATTGCGGATTTGGACAGGTGTTGCAACATTTTTCCGCAATTATTATTGGATAGAATTTTTAATGCAATTATATAGGAAAGATCTGCAAACATTAGAATATGTCACTAGTTTTTATTCATAATGATAATAATTTCTTATTTGAATTATTCATGCTCAAATCAACCTTAATTCAATAATTGATGTTAAATTGTTTTATTCAAATTAATTATACAGTATGTTACACGATAAAATAATTGAATAATAAACTTAGAACCTGATTAGCAAACTACCAAAATAGCCGAAAAATGGGAGGTAATTATGGAAGTTAGATGGAAATGGGTGTTTTCAAACTTTTGAATAAATTATATTTTAATAGTGTAAAAATATATCCAAATAGCGAGCGTTATTGGTTAAGTATAAACCTCATAATGGAAAATTTAACACAAGCCTTCAACATTCTATGGCAGGTAGATAAATATACTAATACATATGTTTTTTTTTGCTTAAAATTTAAAATTTCTACACCCATTAACTTGCAGTTAATTTAAAGCTAGATACCGCCTTTTGGTTAAATTAATTAATTAGAGACAGGTAAACATATTATTTATGGATGCTAATTATGATTTTTTTCTTGAATTAGCCATTTAGATATTATTTGTGCTGTCTCAAACTAAGGACATATAGTAGTAATATATTTAAATTTTTATTCGTTTTATTCCGATTATTTGTTTTTATTCAAATTACTCTTTATTCCGTTTATTCGTTTTATTCAAATTACTTGTTTTGATGGCTTAATTCAAATTACTCGTTTTATTCGAATTATTCATTTTATTGAATCATTCTATTGTTTAAGCACGACTTTTGTTGTTATTCATATCATGAATATGATTATCATTGCTGATTTAGTATGCAGCACCGAATATTCGAATATTCACACGTGTAACCGAATATTCATTGAAATAATAATAATAATAAATAATAATAATAATGAATATTCGAATATTCATGTGTCGAATGTCAGTATTAGTTTATTTTCCTATTGTTATTATTATCGGAGAATATCGAATGAATGAATGGATATATACAATACCAATGATTGATTCTTTGATCAACACTTCTAGAACAGCAATACAAATAATCGGTCTATTTGGTATATTGTTTGTGAAAAGTCAAATAAATTATTGATTTTTTTTTTCCACATGTTAATAAATATCCATTTTTATTCAAATTTCTAATCTTTCATTTATTACAATTAATATTAGCTCCTTCTTTGTTGCCGAATTTATGTCTCTAGTTTGTCCTATTGTAGCACTTATAACCATCAAATGCCCTATTTTGTCCATTTTTAACCATTTCATTTATTCTAACTGCAAATTTGACTCAAACTACTCTTTTTCATCCGTTTCTTTTTTTCAGGTGAGGTGGAAGGCGTAGTAGACATGATTAAATCACGAAGTCTTTCAACATCCAATATATTATTATTGTGTCACAAAATCATGTTTACCATACATAGCTTTAAATTTCAACTGTCCTAATAATTCAGTAATAATTTCATTGTGAGGCAATGATTTTCTCGTTTTTGTTACAAGAAATAAACATTCTGTTGTATCTTTAGTTTCTTCCAATTATAAATTTTTTTGATAATGAAAAGGAAAAAAATAAATCATTTAATTGTAGTACTAATATATATGGAATAAATTGATTGATAAAAACTACTTCTTTCAATTGTATCGAATTGATCTTGACATGATAATGTTGAACACCAAATTTTTCATTAATAACAAATTCGACCATTTTATTGAGCAGTTTTATTGTTGCACAATTGGTGTAGTGTATGTGTAATGAGAAAGACCCACAGAGTGAGTTTGACCTTGAAACTATGAAGATCCGTATGAAACGGGTGGTCAGAAGATGACATTCTCCGAAAGGCAAACCATTCATCCATGATGTCAAATGAATGATTTGCCTTTCGGAAATAGGTGATCGACGATGATTAATTTATATATATAATTTCAATTAATGCTTACAAACAAATTTGGTGTTATGACCCTGTTAAAGATCTATATAAATTTACATGATTAATTGAATAATTTAATAAAAAATTTTATAATTCAGTTACCGAGATAAGTTAGTGGGCGACTCTTTCTTTGATACATCCTTGTTGTGATGTTCACATTCTAAATATCTTATTCCGAACAAACCTTTTTTGCATGCTAGTGATTCACCTTTTTTGAACAAATTTTTTTTATTCATCCCATAAGAGAAATACATGCATATATAGTTATGTTGATCATTTGATATTAATATTTTTAATTAAACCATCTTGGTTTGTTGCAATTATAATATGCAGAATTTCCAACGTAATTGGAAAATTTCGATTTTGATAATCACGGAAACATGTGGGTAAAGCCCAGTGACACTCAATCATCACGCGGCGGCAACCAAACAATTACACGTATCGCAATTTTATTCATAATTGTAATAGGACCGGAAAACTCTATTGAATGTCTCCTTTCCTCTTTTTTAAGGTACTTTCGAATCATAGTGTCGGTACTATTGTAATAATATGATAATTGCGTGATGATCAAGTGTCGTTGAGTTTCACCCACATGTATAGTCCAATCGAAACTAAATTTGAAATTTGAAATTCTAATTAAAAAAAATATATATTGCTTTTAAATTATGTCAGGCAATTTTGATTCTCGGAGTCTTTATTTGTCAAATTTTAAGAGTTCTGGGAGACCTCCTGACATTATTTGGACACATTTAATAATGGTACAGAGGCGAATATGATTCCACCTGTATATGTTGTAATGATAATGGAATAAAAGGAAGTCAGTAATAAAACAATTTTATTTTACATAAATATCAAAATGATGATTTTTTGGATGAAATAGGTTCTTTGACAACTTCTAATTTTTCAAATGTTCTAGGAACAAGGAGTTTGTCTAACAATCAAAGGAAAACAATCAATAATCAAAAGGATTGAATGATTTTTGTTTTGAGTTTACTTGACTTTGAATTTAAATTACTATTAGACTTTCAAATTGGATTTCGATTTCGAATTTTATTATCATGTGATGATCATGTGATCTTCAAATGAAGGTTTTAAATTTTCGATTCTAATTTATTTGCCTATGTCAAAATAAATAAATAAATATATACAATGTGTAATTCGTCATCTTTTATACTGATACAACAAATAAAATAAACAAAAGTCTATAAATTTAAATAGTTACAAAGAAAAAAAATAAATATATAAAGGAAAACGTCTTTAATCATGATTTCTTCTTCTATGCGTACTACCACCACCTTTCTTAAAATGAATAGTACGAGCTATAAATATGATTACAATTAATCAATTAATCAATCATAAAATCCTATCCGATATATTCGAAAAAGCAATATAAATATTTAACTTACCTTGTTTACGAACTTTTTCATGTTTTGTTTGAACTGTTTTGAAATGCGTTAACAAATCTTGAAACTTAATTCCTTCGCCTCTTGATGATAATAATTTACTAATTGATTTTTTTGAATCGTTTGGACTTGATTTTGTTAAATAAAAAAAATATTTTAAAAAGATTAATTGATTATGTTCTGATACTTTTTTAATGATATACTGTATATATATGTGTGTGTGTGTGTATGTATATATATATATATAACCTTTTTGGTATCAAATGTAAAAATCCCATAGAACTGACACTTGTCAATCTATTTTTTAAACTTGCAAATGCACTACTTTGTGGTAATAACATCAATAATCCATATAAACATTTTACCAAATGTGGGTATTTGTCTGGTTCAAGTAGTTGTAATCTGAGATCTAAATAAAAAAATAAATGCTACCGATTAACAACAAATCAACTTGCCTTCAATCAATTGGCAAATAAAAGTAAATTAAGACTTCTTTTTTGGATAATTACAGGTGAAAACTGGCGATTCCAATAGTTGAACAAGTTTATCAACTTGAATCAACAAATTGACTGTGATTTCTATTTCAGCACTAAAATAAATAAACGTGTAAACAAGCAAGTATTATAAATACTGTAAAATGTAATAATAAATAAGAATTGAAAAATACAAAAGTTGCAAAAGATTTGAAGCGTGTTCATAAGCTTGGGCTAATAAACAAAGTGAAAATGTTGCAACTGGATTATGACACCATGATTTATACAATGCTGTAAACAGCACTTGTCCGTCCTTTGCCTCTAAGTTTTTTAATCTTCTTCTTAAATCTAAAAGTTCTGGCGACGTTATAAGTATACTGTTGAGATTTTGTACCATATTTGAAGCAAATTCTATGTCCTGCAATTTTAAAAAAAAAATTTTTTCTAAATAAATGTTCATATATAGATAGATGAAAGTATGTAAAAACTTTTTAACCTCTTCTTTTTCCAAAATCTCAGCAAAGCTCATGTATATCCTTTCTGGATTAAGACTTAAACATAAATGCCGAATAATCAGACTTCCCCTGTTTTCTAATAGTTTGCGATCAGTAGCAAACAGTTTCAATAAATCCACCATAAATCTTGTAAAATATTCATCTTCGGAACTTGAGGATAATTGTGCAAGCAGCTGAAGATCACGCTTTGCAACTTCCTCTGATGGATCTGAAAGAAGTTTTAATAGATCTGGAAAATACCCATCATCAAAGGCAAGTATCTATAAATTAAATAATTCAAATTGTTTGTTGGAAAATTTTTTTTTAATTTATTTTTATATTAATTAATTAATTTTTTTTTTAAATAATAAAAATAAAAAACCTTTTTTTTTGGTACTTTTTTATGAAGCATTATCAACAAATCCAAACTTGCAATCCTTGTTTCTTCGTGGTCGTTGGTAAATTGATGCACCAATGATCTAACTGTCGAATGATAATCAAAAGGATCGACTTCCTCCTTTATTAAAGGCAAGGTATTTACAACATTATTTGATTCAATCTTTACATCTACATTGGTTGATTTTGAAAATTTGTTGTGTGAACTTGTTGACAACCGGGTATTATCATCATTATCATCATTATTATCGGTATTGCTGTTGCTGTTGTTGTTATGGTCCATTGGAAGAGTTGAATGTAAGATGGAGGAAGTGTTGGTAAAATTTAGTGTTTCTAAAATCGTTTTATGAAGGTTTTGGTTCAAATCTATAGCACAGTTCCTAATTTGTATAATATTAATAATAATATGTTAAAGGAGTTATACTTTAATGTTCTGAAGAAAGCAAGCAAATAAACGAATATTTGTTTGTTTACGAGTACACATGTGTAAACTGTGTATATTGGTATGAAAGGATATTTGGAACTGAGTGAGCTAAAGAAGGTAATACAGCATTTATTAATTGAGGTGTAAAGCTGATGACCACTTCTTTAGCAATATTAATAAATTCATTTATCCATCTCAATGCAGTTTCTTGAATCTGTTCAACTATAAATTAATATAATGTATATTAAATTATCTATAGTCCAACGAAAACTATTTCAAACAAAATACGTTCTTATCGTTTTATAATACCTGATGAACTTAAATGTGGCATTAAAATTTCAATAATTTTGGTAAAATTGATTTCTACACTTTGACCAGGGATCCAAGTTCCTTTACCTTTACCCTCCATCTCACTTATAGATATAGAATCCCAAAAGGCATCTCCAGCATCAACTGATTTAACCAAATTAGGATTATCATCGTCAATGCAGCCACCATCTTTCAAGCTATCACTTGTTTCATTATTATTTTCTGATAAATTTGCAAATTTTCGTTGTTGTTCAACATAAAAAATTTTCATAGCTTGTTGTTTTTGCTGTTCTTTAACTTCAACAGCTTCGCGTATTTCTGTCAAAAAGCTTGCTAAAGCATTGGAAGTTGCGGCGCACACGGCTTCATTTGGATCACTCAAAAAACTTATTAATCCGTCCAAAAAGTCTGGCAAAAAAGAAACCAATTCAAGATCTGGTATTGAGTCTAAGACCGTAATCCACGAAACCAAAAATAATCGTGTAAATGGATTTTTAACACGGATACGTTCAGCCAACAATGGAATAAATTTTGGTAGCGAAAATGCTGTTGTTCTTGGAATTGCCATTGGGTCTGTTGAAAAATCTTGTTCGTCATTTGAAACGAGGTTTTGGGAGTCTAAAACTGAAACATACGTGGTTGACTGTTCTGCTGCAATATCTTTAATTAACCTATCCAATAATTCTGTTCCGTTTTTCACTGATAAGTCAGAATCTGCCGCTAACTATAAACGGAATATATATATGTATATATGTATATATGGAATATAATCTAGCAAAATCAATGTCTGAGACTCAATAAATTAGCTTATTAAATCAACCTTCAAATTTATTAATAAGTCTCGGACCTGATTTTGTTAGAATAACTCCCATATATTCATTTTAAGGTAGATAGTTAGATATGAGGTAATGATAATTTAATTTACAAAAAAATTTTCTTTACCTTACTCATTACATCAAAGACATCATTAAAATATCTTAAAATTTCGCCTTTAGAAACTTTTGCAATATTATACATACTTTCACATGCATAATATCTTACACGCGATTCTTGGTCAGTAAAGCAAGAAAGAACTGGCGTAGCAATATCATCTAAATAGGCAGCTACATCCTATTTTTTTAAAAAAATAAATAAATGGTAATAATAATCATTATAATATTGAACTCATCAAAGGACATGAAACATACTGGTCCTAAAGCGATTGCTGCAGCTGCTAAACCTATTAGGCCTCCATTACGTGAATTTGGATTCGCAGAATTAACAAAATCTTGAGCGAGTTTTTCAATAATACTTCTAATTTTTTCCACACTATTAGAAGCTAAATGCGTTCTAATTAGCCTATTAAATATATATACAAGTATAAAAGTAAAATGTTTTATGCATGTTAAATTCCAAAATGAAATGTCATTCTTATTTTCTTAATATTAAAGTATAATTGAATTCATTTTTACCTACTTTTCTACTTCTAATGCAGCTGCCTTACGTTTCTCGTAAACTTTATCGCTTAAGCCACGAGCTATTTGTACACTAAGAGCAGATGCTTCTGCCATAATTCTCGTTAACAATAAAGTTTGTTTCTAAAGACTAAATGAATAAATTTTATTTTATTTTTATAATTCAAGATTGGCATGATAAAAATTAATATATATATGGTGTTTTTGTTACACACCTGATCAATTTATTATTTTTAGTAATTAGTATTAATTTGCATAGATTTGCAAGATACTACCCAACTTGGAAGAAAATATCCGGACGCATCCTTTTGCTTATTCTGCAAAATTTTCATAACAAAAACAACATCAGTACGTTCTTATGGTTATGCAAACAAATTCCGATATAAAGTAAATAGTTCAATAACCTAAAGTGCTGATCTTTTTTAAATCGAGAAATTTATATACATTTCAGTTAGAAGTTTTTGTAGTTATGGGGGCGTTTTTTAAAAGACGCTTTATTATAATCACAAAAAAATTTTTTCATTTTCACTATTATTAATCATTATTATAAACTATTTCCCGAAATATACTAAAATTTATCTTATTGTTAAAATTTACTGTTTAAATTCATGCGATTCTATATTTATTAAATTTCAAATAATAAACATGCAACAATGCGTTAAAGAAACTCGTGAGAGGAAATGAAAGAAATTATTGAGCAATAATTAACATTCCAAAGAAAGAAAATATCATTAATATTAATGAATCTAAAATAAATACATTCTCGACATAACGGATCATTTTATGTTAATATAGAGAATCCCGTTTTATCGAGATGAAATTTATTATTATTATAATTAATAATAGTAAAGGCGAGAAAAAATTCCAATCCGAAATAGAACTTTTTGAAAAAACCTTCAAACGGCCTTCTGTTTTCATAAAAGAAAATTTCTACGGACCTTTTTATTACACAATTCGTTATTTGCGATTCACTTATTGTTTATTATTTCTTGTTTCTTATTGCAATGCAATGCAAAAAAAGTTTTCGTCTACGAACTTTCTAAACTGATTTTTTTGTAAAATCAAAAGGTAACAAACATTGTAATGAGCAATCGATTCTCCAAATTATTGAAAACAAACCATAACAAATTAATAATTTTCAATATGGAAAATAAAAATGTCAAATACAGTTAAACCAAAACTGATGTTACAAAAAGATCTTTGGTTTAATAAATTCCCTTGGCTTATAGAGATAAATTTTAATAGGTAGATAATTGGTTTATCATTTTATCAAGGCATTGTCTGTATTATGGTTCCAATGAATATGAAAAAAGCAATTGATCTTTAGTAAAGAAGCGAATGTTCTAGTTAAAAAAAATTTTAAAATTATATAACAAGTAAAATTTTTAAAATTTCACCAATAACAAGATTCATATTTTTATTTTCTAGGAATAAGTTTCAGCTTTAGTTCATCACAATGTCTTGTCAACCCAAAATGAGATTTCAAAGGTGCTGAATAATCAATCAATTCAACATTAAATTTTCCAAATAATAAAACCATAAAAGTTTTAAGTTCTGTCATTGCTAGATTTCGACCTGGGCACATTCTCAATCCACCTCCAAACATATTAAAAGAATTCTTTTGGATTTTACCATCATCATCATCATCATCATCACCATTTTTGTTGTTGTTTGTTGATGATAAAAATCTTTCAGGATTAAATTTTTCAGGATCCTTCCAATGCAATTTATTCATATTAATTCCTTGAGCATTTATCATTAAAATTGTTGAACCTTCAAATTTATGTCCATCTATTTCATCAGAATGTTCTGCCATTCTAAAAATCACTGGTGCTACTGTTAGGTGACGTGAAACTATTTATTTGGAAAATATTAATACTGAATTTTTTTGATTAATTGAAAAAAAATAAATTTTGTCTTTTTAAAACCTTCTTTAATCACAGCTTCACAATAATGTAATTTATGCAAATCTTCAAAGATAATGTCAGAATTTAAATCAAAGATTTCTTGAATTTCTTCAACAATATGCTGTTTTACTTCAGGATTGTGACAAACATAGTAAATAATGAAACAAATTGCACTTGAAGTCTAAAATTTTGAAAATTTAATTATTATTATAATTCAATAATTCAATAATTCAATGATTCACCACAAATATTATCTGCTTACTGTGTTAATTCCACCTAAAATAGCTTCCAAAATATTTCCACATATGTCTTCATCAGCCATTGGTTCAGGATGTTGATCATCATTTTGTGATTTATCACGTGGTGTATTAAATGTTAACATCAAGGTCAACATATCAGGAGTCAATTCTTGACCAATTGGTGTTTTTTCAATTTCATTTCTACGTTCTTTAATCAAATTTGACAGGTAATGCTTCCTCATCCAGTCAAAACTGCAAAGGAATTTTTTGGCAGAGCTATTGTAGTTTGGCAAAACATGTAAAAATGTAGGTACCATCAAAAAGAATTCCATTCCTTCAATCATAGTTCTAACATGATGAATTAGGCTTTCTTGTTCAGAATTTTTTTCAGGTGCACACAAAACTTTATGATAATTATTTAGAGTGTCAAATTTTTTATTTGTTGTTGTCAATAAGGTTGCCTCAGCAAAAAATCTTGGAGCCCAATCTGTCATATTGATTTCACCATTTTGTTGACTCAAATCCTCCCAATATTTTTCCATTTCCAAAAATAATGATTGAGTGATCTTTACACTTTGTCTGACAAAACTTGGTGCTAAGATGGCTTTTGAGAAAAATCTTTGATTATAACTCCATTTATTGTGATTATTATTGAATAATAAACCTTTAGAAGTCATGTCCAATATATCCAATCCTTTGTTTGGAGTTGTACGCTTATTATAATTACCAAATGAAGGTTTAAAAACTTTCTCAACATATTCAGCTCTACCTAACCAAATGGCTCTTTCTCCACCAATCCATACTTCACCAATATCACCATATTTTGATTGAAGACCATTTACCCAAGCTGCCAAATCATTATATGAAATCAAATTACCAATTAATGGTAATGGTAAAGGACCTGGTAACTTATTTGGACGTTTAAAATAATTCACATAAAAATCTATCACATAACAAATGACAATTAATAAACTTAAGAAAATAAAATCTTGAATTGAAAACGTTAACATAATTCAAATTAATTCAAATTTGATTAATAATAAATAGAAAAATCAATCTATATATATTGTTTAAGGGTAGAGTATACGTAACACGAATCTACTTGATCTACAATGGCTAAGCCACATATTAAAGACGAATAAAAAATAATAAAATTGTACAAATTTTATATCTGGCAGTGAGATCTATTATTAATTGTTAACTTGCATAAGTTATTTTAATTCCAGCCGTTGAAAATTTGTCTTTCATATGAATATTATGAATATTTGGTTAACTATTGAAATGTATATTAACTAATTCATAACCTACCTGAAAAAGTTAATGCTATTCAAAAAGAAAATTTAACAATCTTAATTTATCATGACTTTATTCGGAGATGGAAGGGATGTTATCATCAATCGGGAAAGTGAAAATAACAGTAAAAGAAACAGGTTCTAGAAAGAAAGGGATTGGTTGATGTAAGCTACATCAAAAAAGTGTTTGCTAAGATCCTTTTCATTCATTAATTAATTGGAAAAGTAATGGTTTATTATTGTTGTTGTTGTAATTGATCGAAAAAGTAATTATTCGCTAAGATCTTCTTCATTAATTGATCAAAAAGGTAATAGTTCTTAAAATATAACAATTTTATCTCGGTATAATAGATAAGAATGCATTTTTTTCTTCATGACCAGAAAAAAAAAGATAAATATTGATTTTTCTTTATTATTGTAAATAATTTTTAAATTCATGTTGGTCTCAATACGGAAGATGGCGGAGAAAATCAAGCACAAGTTAAAAGGTTAACAAGAGAAAAAATGGAAAGCTATCAGGTGTCATTGAAAGTAAAAAGGTTTTACGACCTTGGAAAGAAAATAAATACATTCATTGATCTCCGAGTCAATTTTTAACACAAAAAAAATGAACATTTTGCAATTTAACATTTCTTGAAAAGAAAATTCCTTCCCCAAAAATCAAGTTTAACAAAAGTTGATATTCAACATCAACCATCAACATCAATATGTCATGTTGACTTTTCTCTTCCCTTCCCGGCATGATCAATAGAGAGTATTTATCACAACACAACCAACCTCGTAAAACTGCAAATTCCTTTTTATAGATAAAATTATCAAAGAGACATTAAATCATTTTAAAAAAATCCAAAAAAAACGAAATTGAATGTTGCACCGGATTGATTTTGTCGCTTTCTTGCGTTAATTAAAAACAAAAACATGAATACATAGTTGAATCTTGATTTAGCGGATAGTTTGGGCAATTGGGTAAAATTCTTTAAACCGAGATATCCGCTATATCGAGAAGATTTTTATTAAGGTTTTATGGAATTGTTCTTTGAACTTTATCCATAAAAACTGAGATTTTAATTAGTATCCGCTAATCGATATTCACTGTGTATAAATAAACAATAACAATAATGTTCTGTAATGATATTTTCTTTCTTTGGAATATTAATTATTGCTCAATCCCCTCTTACGAGTTTCATTGTTCTAAAAATAAAATATAAAAAATAAAAAAATATAACGAGAAAAACAAAACGTTTGTTGTATATTTATTATTTGAAATTTAATAAACATAGGTTTGATAAGAATCGTATGAATTTAAATAATAAGAGTAAAAAAATGAGCATGCGGACATTCTTTGTTTTCACACTGACTATTTATATTGTTTAAAGCACTCAAATCAGTCACATGAACAGAAGTGAGTCACTCTAACACATCAAATAACCTTAAAGCTAAATAGGAAAATATTGAATGCTTGTCTGAAAAAAATAGAAACGATACTTTATAGCCATTGTCTAGTTCTACAATACATCGTCGAGATAATTTTTTAAAAATTATTAGCTCCAGAGTTATTGGTCAAATTTGGAAATTTTTATATGTAACATATAAAAACATATAAAAACACACAATTTTAAAGCCAATAACTCTGGAGCTAATAATTTTTAAAAAATTATCTCGACGATGTATTGTAGAACTAGTCAATATCTATCAATTATCGTCTCAATATTTTTTTTAATGTTGCAAATTTTTTTGATACATCAATCTCACTCACTGGTCATAAATATAAGGACACTTGCAGATCATTGGAAATAATTGAATAAAAAAAAAAAATAAAAATTTTATTATCATAACCACATTCGCTTATTAAGTAAAAAATCATCTTCATATCAAATAATATAATATGCTGAAATTTCGCCGCATATAAACAACAGCTTGTTGTTTTACGAACCTTAAAAAATAAAAATGAATTTTTCGGAATTTTCAAAAAAATCTTTAACTCAAAAATTGACCGCTATTGCAAGTTCTAACGACCTTCGTGGTATAAGTGAAAAATGCGTCTTATGTTTAAATCTAGTTATATCTAAAATTTTGGAGCACTTGGTAAACTAATTAATGAGAAAAAAAAAATAAAACGTAGAAAATTTTACGAACGATTCAACCTCAAACTGCTCACCAATTTGAAACATAAAAGACATCAAAGAATATATGAAACTGTTTTGAATTGATTGTATTTTATTAAAAAAAAATCAATATCTTGCCGGGTTTCCTTTATTTTTTAAAACAGCATCCACTCTTCGTGGCCATACTATTTATTAATCTATTAATTCTCCCCAAGATAGTATTAAACCATTCCCATTTAATAAATTGAATAGTTCTGTTTTATTTTTGGTTTTAGATTTCTCATTCTGAGTCGTCTTTTTAAATCCTGCCAGGTCTAAGAGCTGGAGTTGTTTTATTTTTTTGGAAAATAATCATTAATGGGCTTTTCGACTGCACTTTTGGATCTATTTAATATGCGAGTTATTTCTCTATAAGAAAAATCGGCCTTTTTTAAACCAACAATTTATCCGCGTTCGAATTCCGATAATCGAGTAGCTTTGGACATTTTAAATTCTCTTTAAAAAAATAAAATGGTTGAAATTTACCTTTAAACGAATTATTTTCAAAATTAATTCGTTTGAGTATTTTGTATGACATCTTGGCAATTAATTTACTAAATGATCTAGAATTTTGGATATAACTAGATTTAAACATAAGACGCATTTTTTACTTATACCACAAAGGTCGTTAGAACTTGCCATTGCAGTCGATTTTCGAGTTAAAGATTTTTTTAAAAATTCCGAAAAA